ATAAATGGGTATTAGTAGTCCAAGTACTCTAGGATGTGTGCCTCGCACTATTAGACGATGGATTTCCGCTAATAGTAGTTACAACGAGGGATAATTCCGTTGTAGCGAGAAGATGATCCGAGGATCATCCGGATGAAATCAAGTCGTTTGCTTGCACTCGTTAAACGATGGATTCCCGCTAACAGTAGTTACAACGAGGGATAATTCCGTTGTAGCAGAAGGTGATCCGCGGACCACCCGGATGATAAATAGAGCGGATTAACTAATACCCGTGGTACCCGAGATTAAAATTGATGAGTATGGTGGGAAGTCAAAACAACATTGCATATCATGTGCATCACCCCGCTTACCGAGCTTCGGCTCACCCCGTTGTTATTTTTTTTTATGTCTTGACGGAAAAAGGACAAGTTGGTACGGATGCGGCTGTCTCCTCCTAACCGGCTCATGTGAGGCACCATATATTAGTTTTTATTTTATCCGTAAATTTAGGGTATGGAATTCGTGAGAAATTGAATATCACCCGTAATGTTTTATTAATGTATTTAATTATGTTATGTAAATTTTATCTTAAGGAGTTATATACGTAATGTACTCGTTAAAGTCCTAAGAATATCATAAGAAAACTACTTAGAGTTTAGGATATGTCGGCGTAACGCGCTTCGTCCGATACCCTACTTAGGTAGTAGAAATATGACTAGGGCGGGGCGTTACAACTATCGATCACATGATCAACATCGAGTTATGGCCATCGACACCACGACTAGATCCGCCTAATTCATGAGGCATAACTCAAGAATAACATCCGAAAGAGTCTTAAAAATGAATAATAATTTAAAAAATATATATATTATAAATTATTACGAATTGAAACAAAAAAAATCAACACATATAAAATGCATAATAAACACACAAAAAATACATAATAGAAAAAATGATATAATTTAATAATACAACAAATAAAATTGATTTATAATTATAATTGACATAATAATCTTCTAAGTTTTTCCCTACTTCAATTAATTCGATACACATTCACTCTCATCTTCTTTATTAGCTTCAAATATTTCTATATCTATAAACAATCTATTTAGATTATTCAATGATTGCTCTTTACCATCATTCTGGACCAAATTATGTTGGATTTTTGAATCGTCGTTTGGAAACGAATCTTTTCAAAAGTGAATCTTTTCTACCGGTAAACCCATCCCCTTCACCAACTTGTTAGTATTGTAAAAATCCTTTGTCTTATATTTATCAATCGACATCAACTCCTTCATCAATCCACATATCTTGTCGTAATACCTTTAAGAAAAATAGTGTTCCAACTTCGAGGTTTAACAATCAAACAACTATAGATAACTAGGAGTGATTGTCACAACCAAGCCAAATCTCCTTGTTCATGCGTTCAACATGTCATAAAAAACTTGAGCATCGACATTTGGCACCTCATATGTGCTAGAATGATTAAATGATAGACCAACCGCATCCACCATCATTGTTTCATATGGATTGGAAGGTTGACTACAACTTCCTTCATCTTCGTGAAAATTTCCCGTACATAACATAACTCCTCGAGTCAACTTCTTCATGGTGTATCTAATCATAATATCCATGCACAAAACTATATCTCACTAAATGATATTTAACCATGATAAACTCTTCAAAATTTTGGTTCCAACACTTACGGTGATTGCAAAGACACCTTAACTTTCTTATATCCCATACATTCATGATGAGTAACAACAAATGCAACAAATTCTATAATCCATTTCATGAAATTATCATTTAAATACCCATCTATACACGTAACATACATCCATTCACAATTGGACCTCATTATTATGTTTTTGCATTTTCGAGGCAACATAAAATTATTTAATTAATAATTTTTCTAAACATCTAATAAAATTTCGGCAAAGTCTCCGTTGTAAAGTGTACCTTTTCTAATTAACAAAATACTCTAAATGATCTACAAACAATAAATCAAATCAACCAACAATCAATTTACGTACATCAAGACCAATAATTATCTCGAATACTCTATCAAAATTAAATTTCAAACTCATTCTTCCAACTCTATCACAGAACACTAAACCAACCTTATTTCTCTTCAATTATCGGGAGTTTTCCATCCCTCGAGTTCGATACACTACGACGTATCTCGACACACTTCAATAATTGTATACGAAATAACTAATTAAATTTAAAATAACAATAAACTTCTAAGTTTTAATATAAATAAATTTTTAATTCAACCAATTAAAAAAATTAACATAATTAATTAATTACATATAAATATAATTAACTTAATTAATTTTAATTCTAACTAAATTAAATTGAAAATAACAATAAACTTCTTATTTTTAATATAAATAAATTTTTAATTCAACCAATTAAACAGAATTAACCTAGTTAATTATAAATATAATTAGCTTAATTAATTCTAATTCTAACCAAATTCAATTTAAAATAACAATACACTTCTAAGTTTTAATATAAATAAAGTTTTAATTCAACCAATTAAAAAAAATTAACCTAATTAATTAATTAATTATAAATCTAACTAACTTAATTAATTCTAATTGTAACCAAATTAAACTTAAAATAACAATAAACTTCTAAGATTTAATATAAATAAATTTTTAATTCAATCAATTAAACAAAATTAACCCAATTAAATAATTAAATATAAATTTAATTAACTTAATTAATTCTAATTCTAACCAAATTAAATTTAAAATAAAAATTAATTAATAATTTCTAATATAAATAAATTTTTAATTCAACCAATTAAACATAATTAACCTAATTAACAAATTAAATATAAATCTAATTAGCTTAATTAATTCTAATTCTAACCAAATTAAATTTAAAATAATAATTAATTAATAATTTCTAATATAAATAAACTTATAATTCAATTAATTAACCATAATTAAATTAATTAATTAATTAATTATAAATCAAATTAACTTAATTAAGAAAAAATAATTAATTAATTAATTAAATTACAATTAATTAACAGATTTAGTCTAATTCAACCAATTAAACATAATTAACCTAATTAATTAACTAAATTTAAATAAAAGTAACTTAATTAATTAAAAATAAATTTTGATTAAATTTAAATTATAATTAATCAGCTAATTAACCTAACAATTTATAAAATTTAAGAATTTAACAAATTAATCAACCAATTAACCCGAGAATTAACAAAAAAAAATAACAATTTAACAAATAAATTAATAAAATAACAATTAAATCTATACACAATCATAAATCAAGTAATTAAACTTAAATTAACCTAACAATTACGATAAATTACTAACTTTAATTAAGAAAATAAAAGAGAAAAAAACACATCTAATTCGGTGGAATTACACCAAGAGAAAGGAAGCAAAAACGAGGATTTTTTGAAAGAAAAGACCTTAGAGTAGGTGTGAATCAATCGAGAGTGGAGGAGTAGAATTTGGTGGTGGTTTGGAGGGGGTGGGAGAATGACTATAGCGATTGGAGAAGGAGAGGGAGAAAAATGGTGGAGGAGGAAAAAGAAAAGGGCTAAATTAGGGCTGAAAAATAACGACGGGTGTAATCCTCTCACACGACGGACACTTAAGTCCGTCGCTAATCCACATCAAAATGTCGGCCAATTTTGTATAGCTGGCCAATTATTTTTTCACATACGAGAGACGGACGTAAGTGTCGTCACTAATCCGTCTCAAATTTGGCAATGTCCGTCGCTAATCCGTCGCAAATTGGATAATTTTGTATTTCAAAAAGTTCGCTGAATTTTGCCCAAATTTTCACTTTTAGCAACCGATTTTTCCGTCGTTAAATTGCAGGAGATGTGTCCTTTAGTATCGCTAAATCGTGACATTGAAAATAGTGACGATTTTGCCATTATGGCACTATTTTTTCTAAAAAATTCATCGTTAAACCGTCTCTAAAACTCCCGAGAAGATTTTACTCGTTAAATTTAGCAACGGATTAGTGTCGATTACTAATAAACTATCACTATTCTATCTCTATTATATTGCTGATTTTAATAGTCATTATTTTATCGCCATTTGCTTTCTATTTAGCGATAGACGTATGCCCATCGTTAGTTTTCATCGCTATTTAGCAAAATTCTAATGGTAATTTTTAGGCGGGGTTATTACATCTATTCTAGTATAGTGGTTAAAGTGGTTAAGGTTTGAGATTTTTTCTTTTTCATCTAAGACTAAGAAGATTCAGGTTGAATAATGGAAAAGGAAAAGAAAAATATTAAGAAGAATTATTCGTCATGGTTAGCTAAATTGTGCTGAAATCGATTTACTTGGTGACTTTACGTGATTATCAACGTTGATGTTAAACTTTTACTCTCTTGGCCTAAGTAAAGGAAAGAATATCAAAATATTTGATCCATCTTGTCATATAACTCAAGATTTTGCTTAGTGGAGCCGCGGAGGAGAATAAAGTATTTGCAGATTTTTTTCAAGCTTCAAAAGAATCAAGACACCACCCTGGACTTATTCCATTCACACGCAACTGCATAAAGGAAGTTGTAGTAGATTGCTGAATAAAACTGGCACTAATCGATCAAATCCAAATGAAAAGGAGATAGATATTCCTATTGACTATAAATCACTTATCTGGCATAGTTGCAGCATCCATGCAGCCTTTTGAGAGGTTAAAATTAAACAAGAAATCAATCTCAAATATTTCATTGTCTTGCATAGTGACTGCGCTTGATTCATTGAACTTCAGATACCAAGTTCATTGAAAGAGCATCCCTCATCTCCTTGTGCTCATGTTGAATACAATACCAATCAAGTCCACAAGACACACTTTCCTAATATTGCCAGCTGAAGGAACTTTCAAAAGATCAAAATTGTTCTCTCTTGCAACCAGTAAACATTGAAACTAGGCAAAAACAATAAGAAATGTTTAGAATCTTGTGATCCATCTATAGTTGAGTACAATTTTGGTTCCTGATCATTATTCGCCTTGAATGAAAACTATTTTGGGAATTGATAACCATCTTGGTATGACATTAGTCTACCATCAGCTTTGTAACTAGAATGGTTAAGGAAGTTGTTGGATATAAACTGTTCGGAGAAAGAGTAGCTTCCCTCTGGAAGCCTCATGGCTCCTCCATTCATGTTCAGGCTTGGCGTGCTGCTTTCTCGAGCTAGATTTTCCAAGCTCACTTGGGTTGGGATGTTAAAACTACTATTTACAGCCTGAAGAAATGGAACTGGGAGTCCATTTCCAACCATCGATGACATGATGCTGTTTCGATTGAAGTAACTGATGTCTCCTGAACTCACTTGAGGAAAGCTTCTGCTTCTCTCTTCTGGCTGCATGCGCTGAAAGTATCCATGATGACTGCTTGAACCTAGTAGCAGATTCGATCTTTCTGAATTCGTGCCTATTTGATTCCCAGCAAGTCTTGGTTGAATAGACTTCAATGGAGATGTATCAAGCCTATGGTTTGCTACACGAGGCTTTGTTAATACAGTAGGCAGTGTTAAGTACATTGAAGAAGCTACTTGATTGGAGGAGTCAGTTGGAAACATTGGCTCGACAGATAATGCCAGCTTTTCTCCTTTGTCCTTCTCGCCTGATCTCATGGATCCCATAATTTGGGCATAATCAGATTGATGATCGGGTACTTGACGGTGATTATTAGAATCAGTAGTCTTTCTGCCTTTTGTAGACCTTTCTGAAGATCCACCATTGCATTGAGCTCTTATGCCCAACACAATGCTCTTTGGCTGCTGCACTTGCACATTCCGATCTGAAGGGCCAGGTTTAGAATTCAACTTGGATGATAATGCCATTCTTTCTTCTCTTTCCTTCTCAGTTGTTGTCAGGGGTACAATAGCTCGGCTATAATCAATTTGACTGTCCAATGCTAGACTGCAATTACTAAAATCAGTTGATTTATTGGTTTTTCCAAACCTCTCTGTAGAACCACCATTGCAATCTTGAGCTCCTTTGAAAGATCTGAAGGTATTTTCATGCAGCAGGAAACTGTTCTCCTGAAAATTCTTCTGATGATGCTCTTCATTGTTCTCCTGCAAGTTGATTAGGTTCTGCCTGTGGACGTTCTCCTCAAACTTGTTATGGGGCCGCACTTGGCCATACCCCTGAATGCTGTTTTGATGATGGGTTGGTATGTTCTTCCCGAAGGTGTTTTGGTGCTTAACTTGTGCATTCTCCTCAAGGTTGGTTTGATTCTGCAATTGAACTTTCTCTCCTCTAAAGCTGCCTTCTCTTGTTTCCAGCTCAGAAACAGACTCCTCTGCCACCAACTTCTGCATTTCTTCCCTCATCCACTTCAACAAATTCTCTCTTGAAACTTTAAGATCCTCTAATAAAAAGTTCATGTACTTCTTAAGATCATCAAATACAGCCTGCTCATCAGTACTAGTTCTACTCTTCTTGCGGCGGACTACTTTACGAGGGCCCTTCTTTATTTCCTTAGGAGCTGAATCATCCTTTTTACTCCTCCTCCTCCTCCTCTGGCCGTTTTCAGCTTTCCCAGATTTCATTTGGTCCGAAACACCAGGGTCACAGTTGCCATTCTGGTGCAATTTACTAGCATCACTAGTTTCATCATTATCAGTTGAAATGAAGCTGGAGATTAGTTTGTGTTTTTTCAGAGCTGGCTCGCCGCTTGGTTTTGAATCATTGCTTGAAGAATCGGAGTCATTGTCTTTCCTCCTAAACTCCCAGCGTTGCTGCTGTTTCAGTTGCTCTGCCATTTTAGAGTGGGGGGACACCAAGAAAAAACAGAATTTCACTAATCCTGAATAACTTGGAAGATGTTGAATTATCAATGTTATTTTTTCATCCCCTGGAGAATCACAGCACTGATTCCTGCCCACATGTTATCGGCATTCCGATATTTTCTGAAATGCAAAAGCTGCTAGACAATCAAATAAGCCACTAAACTTAGACTTCAACTCATTAAGCAGGAACCTGATTACACAGAAAGTACTTCAAAGTGAAACAAGTCTATCAAACAGAGAACAACCAATAATCAACGTTTAATGACATGGATTCTCCGTTCTTTCGAAATTCTGCAACAATTGATGCGATGAAGAACTGAAAAAACAAAGTATGGGATTCAATATAGACAGCAATACAAACCTACGCGTAAAAGAAAGAGCACAATCTTGATCTTAAAGGAACAAATACTTAGTTTCAAAATCTACCCCTCATTAAGACCTGAGATGTAAACCAGCAGAAAAGAAATCCAAATTCTGAACCGCAAGTACCTTCCAATGAGGCCATAAAGTTCAAATAAAGGCACAAACTTGCATAACGAACTGATATTTTATAATATCCATAATCAGGCAAAAAACAAATCGCAGAATAATGCTTCAATCAGAGTTTTAAAAGAAAGAATAACATAGCACCACAAAACTTGGGAACGAATACTAATCAACTCATTGGATATATCTACTATCTTGTATGTTGATCTCATAAATAAAGAAACCAGAACAACGCAAATAATAGCTTCGAACAATTGCAAAATCCAAATATAATGTACATCAAATCCATAGAAAAGAAAACTGGATTCATATCATTAACTTTTTCATGATATTGCATAAAAAAAGAACATTGTAACAAGTTCAAAAAAAAAGAGCATTGACAAATAAAAAAAGATCGGAATAACATCACCAAAGCAAGAAGTAATGAGGTTCTCAAAATAAACTCACCATGTAACAAGGCAAGAAGATGCTTCTCTCTCTCTCTCTCTGTGTCAAACGTCAACCTCTATGTCTCATTTCTTTCAGTAGACTGCTTTCACAGTGCCATTTATATCTCCACTCTCTCTCTTTAAAAGGCAAGAAAAGATATGTTTTTGCTTTTGGCTGTCTCTGTAATGTTTCCATCTGTGCAGTGAGTGTGTTTGCTGTTTATGGAAGTAAGTCAGGGAGTTGGGTGGAAAGTGGCAGAGAGACTTATGGGTGGCATTTTAACCTTTTTTTTGGTTAATAGTGGCTGGCCACTGTGAATTTGTGATAAATAAGCATTAAGCTTTAATCACTGCTTTTATTTTTATTTTTTTGTAACTCCTAAACGAATGTGGTTTATAGCATTTTTAAAGATTTTGTCCCTGAATTTGAGATAGCCCCACCTCACCCATGGTTCGTATCTATTTTCACCAAACACCTGCCTTTCGTGTTGAGAAACAGAGAATAAATTGTCTTTCCACGTAAAATGGTTTCCTGCCTTCGAGTCTTTTAACTTCCACGCCATAAGGACTTCTGTCTTGTGTTCAAGTTACAGCTGTAAAGGATTAATGGGTTTTAGGTATCTATTGATTATTTAGATAACTTTGCAATTCTAGAGAAACCCATTTATCGTTATTACTATATGGTGGGATCATGTTATATATGGTTTTCGCGGACAAATTAAGAAATGGTGTTCTTTGGATGGCATGTTGAATCAAATATGGCCATGGAGCAATGCAGCCATGGAATGTTGTTTCTCCTTTTCTTATGCAACCTGGAACCGACAAGAGCTATAGTTTGAAAATACTAAACCGTTTCAGTATATAAATAGAAAAGAATGGAGTAATGTCTAAAATAGAGAATCACCAAACGCATTTGCACCAAGGCATTAACTTTACATTAATGCTATTGGAAGCTGTGAGAGACATATATGGCAGAAAGGCAGCCCGAAATTTAGTGCAGACAAATAGCAGAATTATTCCAAACCCATTTTGAGCTGGGATAACTAAAGATGTGAAAAGTTGGAAATATCCTGCATGGGCAAGTTACATTTTTCAACTACAGAGAAAGAGAGTGAAAAATGAGTAGGACTATGATGAAAATCAATTTTTTTTTTTTTTTTTTATCCACAGGGATAATTCAGCCAATTAAACTTCGAATTTCCAACTTTGGGTCTAATTCTAAAATTTACATGGGGGTTAATCAATTCAGGAATTAGAGGGTAATTCTAATAACCCTTTTTGGCCCATTCTTTTCTTCATGACTTTGCCTGGCTTGACTAACAGGGTATCGAACCCTATTAGCAAAATGAGATAACTTGAATTTCCATTGAGGGCACACTCATTGTGATCAAATGTTCAGAGACAATGATGAAAAATGAAAATAAAAAAGATAATGATGTTAAAAGATAACCCATTACCCACCAAAACAAAGGAAAGACACTGATCTTTAACTTACCATAACTCAAAACCATATCAAATGACAACGTGGCAGGACCATCTTCACATTATCTCATCGTGGAAGAATTGTCAATAAAGACATCAAAGATTAACAAAAATCAAATCATTAAGGACACTCAAAAAGTGTTAGGCCTTGTTCTGTCAGTATCATCATCGTGGGAAGACAGATCACATGCACTATACCCTTATCAACCTTCGGGCATAGATTCTGATTATCAAGCAAAAATGTAACTTGAGCATTTGTTGACTTTCTGACACTCACTGTACGATTGATGAGAAGATAAGCTTATTATAGGGATTAGGAAGTAATGGCATGAAGTGAAATGAAATGCTTGGGCGAGCCAAGAAGGACCTTATTGCTTCTCTTGAGCAAGTACTATGAGTCACTACGGTTCTACCATTAAATCTAGCAACTTCCAACCTTCACATTCAGCCTCAACAAGGAGAGGAAACAGAACATTGAAATGCACCACCATCTCATTACATAGGAATCAAATACGTAGACAAAAACCAATTTGGTATACACATCAAAGGATTCCTCCGTACAATCAGTATTCCATTTCCATGCAGTCCTGCAATATGGTTACAAAATTGCACCTCTGATACTTTACAGGATCATATTTTTCAGATTCCTATCGAAATATGTTTACACCACACATTTTAGACTGCACCAAGACCCGACAAAACCCGCAGGACAAAAAAAAATATAGCTTTTACAAACCCATTTAAGGGATTGTACAGTGAAGATCTTACCAGTTACCTAACCCTCTCGGAAGCTTTCATCAAGTATTGCACCGTGGAGATCTTTCCAGCCACAAAGCACTCTCTTCCTTCTGATAATTATCGTTAGGAATTTAAGAGATTCTGCTTTTATACAAGAGAAAAACCCAAAACAACTTTTCCCTTTCCCCTATTGGATAGGTTCGATATCTACCAATTCTCCTCTCTGAAACTAAATCAATGGCTTTCTGGTAACCTGTGGCAGCAGAGGCGAGAAGAAAAAAACATGAGATATATAAAAATGTTCTTTTCTTTTCCTTATGCATCAAGTTCTGATCCGTCGCATGTGACAATCAATAAACAAGAGACTGAGAAACATCTTTTTTTCTTCTATTTTGGTTTCTTTGCACATGTCGCACAATCATTATGGGTTCTAAATTTATGTGCACATTACCATGGTACTTCTATGTCCCAGTAATCCACACACTATCAACTTACTATAAACAGGTTAGACAAATTTCACAATTGGTCCTTGACAATATGAAATCAATCAAGACCAAGCTCATTCTGATTACCAAGTCAAAATAACAAAGAATTAACTTACCGCCATGGGAATTCACTTGTGTCTATCCCAGCTTGGTGAAGCTCATCAACATACTGCAATGCTTCCCTGCACTCTTCCCGGTCGTCAAAGAATTCTTTTTTGTCACCTTCAATCTGATACGTTTCATGACCTTTACCAGCAACTACCTGCAATTTAGAGAATATTCACGAGACAGAATACTCATAAAATTACAGTGAGAATAATTTTCAAGGGGACAATCCAGTTTTTCATTTAAAATATTGAACCATCTGTTCATAAATCTTCAAAAAGAGGCGTAGTGAAATGGGCATAAACACTTACAACCATATCCCCTTCTTCACCCATGGCAACGGCACAACGTACGGCTACTCGTCTAATATCATGCAAAAACAGACGATGGCCATTTGGAAGAGGAGGGTAATAATCATTCTCTCCATGTTTCAGATACTCCTGCATTGACCATCCTACGCCAGCCAACATGTCATCCAATATGTCCACTGATAAAGATGAAACAAATTAGTAATAACTTTTGCAAATACGGCATTTTAGTTAAGCAGTACAGTTCAACAGACATACATGGATCTTCACCCCTTGGATTGTCAGATGTCAGAATTGTCACATCACTTTTGTCAGTTGCAATTTTTGTCATTATTGGTCTCTTCCCTCTGTCTCTCTCGCCACCACAACCAATAACTTCACAAAAAGCAAGAAGATGGTCAGGAGAACAGATACTTACATTTCTTCGAGAAACTCATCACTGCCCCAGCTATCCCAACTGACAAAAATTGACAACTTTATCGAAGCGAATTGGCACTTTTCTCTTCCAATGAACATAATTCTAACTTGTTGAATGAAAGAAAAAATAACAAGATAACCATGAACAAGTCAGTACTAATAGGACTAATGTAAATAACTGGAGCTTTCAAATTCCGATAACATTTTGAATACTCAGGATTATGATTGTCTTCAGCAGTTTTGAACCTTAACGAAGGATAACTACTAAATCACTGTATTAGCACTGCCAGACCTTGGAGAGTTGACCACACGTGGTAGAGAACCTTTAGCAAGGGCAAGACTGATGGTTGACAAAAACTTAAACCAATGTATGTCATCGTTAGAGAACTAAAAGAAACAATACAACAAAGCATATTTCTATCTAGAGAATTTCCAGTACATATAATCTTCAGCCTAGCTTTTGTTACTTCCTTATAGCAAATATTCCAAGATGCCACACAAGGAAGAAAACTTAAAACGTCTTTTTCAAGCACAAAGCTTGATTATCACAGAGTTAGAGAAGTAGCACTAAATGAAAGATAAAGGTTAGGAGAAAGCAATAGAAATATACCTGTGATGATTCTTTTAGGCCTAAGCTCCCTTACGGAATCAAGTAGTCTAGATAGGGCATCAGGTGTATGAGCATAATCCACAATCACCCCAAAGGCCTGCTCCTCGTCAATTAACTCACACCTACCAGGTACTGCATCTATCTCTTCAATCCCTCTAACAATGTCTTCCAATGGTGCACCAACTGCAATCCCAACTGCCACAGCTGCGAGAATATTGTAGATATTATGCCTCCCAAGCAATCCTGACGAAATCTCCAAAATCCCGTGGGGTGTATTAACCAAAACCTGTGTCTCAAACAGGGAGAGCTCAAACTTCAAGGGATGAACATCTGCATTTTTATTTTCCATAGCAAAGGTCACAACTGGCACCTCTTGGTTCCCTTGAGCAATAAAGAAAGGTGCATTTGGGTCATCAATGTTAACAACTTTCCTATGCCTTTCTGGGTCCACCATCCAAGCAAACAACTTAGCCTTTGCATTCCTATATTCCTCCTCTGTCCCATGGAAATCCAAATGTTCCCTTGTCAAATTGGTGAAAACAGCAATATCAAAATCAATCTCATTGCACCTCCCTAGAGCCAGTCCCTGGGAAGTAGCCTCCATCACAACAGCTTCAGTTCCATTATGTAGCATCTTAGCCATCAAATTCTGAACCAAAATGGCACCTGGGGTTGTGTTAGGTGCCTCCAGCTTATGATCCCCATGTATATAATGTGCCACCGTACTCAACATTCCAGTTCTCAACCCCATCGCCTCATACATCCCTTTAACCAGATTTGCTGTCGTTGTTTTCCCATTCGTCCCAGTTATCCCAATCACGGCCATATTCTTTGAAGGAAACTTATAAAATGCTGCAGCCAATGCAGGCAAAACAGCATTAGTATCCTCCACGATCACCAAAGCCTTACACCCCAAAGTCTCTTCGATATCAATCTCCTTACTAGCCACAACAGCAACAGCACCTCTCTTATCAGCCTCGCTCAAATACAAATGTCCATCAGTCTTCATCCCAACACGACAAACAAACAAATCACCAGCACTCACCACTCTCGAATCATCCTGTATACCAGTAATCTCCACCTCCAAATCACCCAAAACAGAAACTGGCACCACTTTACTCTCATCCAAAAGCTCAGCTAAACTCATTCTAAACTTTGGTTCTACAATATTCACTTTCAATTTCCCTGAACTATCAAAATCCAAATCAAAACTCTTTTCATCTAATGACGCCCCAACATTGCTTTTTCCGCTCTTTTCACTCGCACCCACATCAAACCCACTGGAACCTTCATCATCACTCTCAGTATCAATCACAGTCAACCCTGTTAGCTCATCAATCTCCTCCAAATCCACTACCTCTTCAGGCTCTAACTCTTCAATACCTTCCACAACATCACTACTTCCTCTAATATCTTTAGGTTTTAACAGTCCTTGTTTAACAAGTTCTTGTCTTTCCATTATAATGGCCTTATCAATCTCACCAAACAAATCATCACCGTCACTATTTAAAGAATTGGGATTTACCTCAGTATCTGCAATGGCTTTGAGAAATGTTGATTGATTCTTTTTGAAGTCTTCTTCTTGAGCTTTTCTTGCTCTTGAAGCTTGGATGTGAACTTGATCCCATTTTGATACTCCATGTGCTGTATCCTCTGGTGCTTCAGGTGGTTCATTGTCTGCTGTGTTTGGGTAGAATTTTCCATCTGGGCCAATAGCAAATGGTGAGTGTATTGTGTTGTGGAGAGAAAGAAATGAAGGGGTTTTAGAGAGAGAAGGAAATAAATTGTGGGGTCTGAAGAAAGAGGGTTTTAAAGAGAGAAAGTTTGGGTTTTGAGAGAGAAATGCGTGTGGTTGGAGAGTGAATGTGAAGGCCATAGAAATGAGGAGGGAGAGAGACAGAGAGAGAGAGGTTGTAGAGAGGGGGGAGAGTGATAATTAAAGGGGATAAGGGGGGTTTAGCGTTGAAAGCAAGCAAAAACGGTGCGTTTTCATGGGAGAGTGAGCAAGACTTGTTTTTAAAATTCTTTTTTCTTCTATCCTTTTTCTTTTTATAAATACCAATTGATTGAATGAGGTGAAGATTGATATGCCCTTGGTGCGCCATTATATACAATTATGTATTTACTAGTTAGATTACTGCACTATACTCCGTCTAATTCTAAAAGGTGTTGTATAAATTATCCAATAGCATTATTGTAATAAATTTGAGATAATTGTATTTTCAGTATATCAATTTTGAGATTTTTCTCAATTAAATATAAAAATTTTAATTTTTTTTGTTTCAGTATATTAATTTTTTTAAAATTTTTAATTAAGTATTTCCATCCAAATTATAATCAATGGATGACGTGATAATTAATTGAAAAGATAAAATTACGTTTTTTACTTTGTTTTTTCTTCTCATCAAACTATCTGTAACAACTTTAATTTTCATTTCCTTTTCTTCCCCACTCAAATTCTCTGTAACAAGTTTTATTTTCAGTTAGAATAAGCAATTTGCTATCATTTCCCTTCATTCATACCAGATTCAATAGCCAAAAGGACATTTGCTAGGTTGACAGATTTTGGTATAACTTGATCAACTTCTCAATTACTACTGTTTTTCACTTTTCTTTTTATCAACCACTAGAAGGTTGTCCTTGTATGGCGGGCATAAGCATCCATCTCCTTTTTCTGTCTGAAAATAAATTACAAAGTTGCTTTATGTTTGGGTATATATATGTTAATTGTTACGGACAACACTATTCTTAGAGGTGCTCTGGTTATGTCCATTATTAACTCCTATACCCAGTAGTGATATTAGTTTTGCCTGCTCATCTATCCGGCTCTTAAGCTTCTGTTGAATTGAATTGCAAGTAAGGTCACTTACACTTGATGTCAAGATGTGGTCATAAGTTTGTTCCATTCTCTGGGAAATGCCTTCGCTAACTCAGTCTGGGAGGAGTTATTGCAATCGAGAAATGCCTTTCAGGTTGAACTTGCTTTTGGCATTTTGAAACAACTCACTGCCTCCTGGATTCCTGATCCATGGAATGCCACTTGTTCGCCATTCATTTTTCTACTCAAAGTGCAGTACTGATTATTGGCAATCCTCTGGTCCATCACAAGGATATCTGAAGATGGGTCGAAATTTTGTTAGTCATGTAGTCATAGAAGAGAGGGAAAGAAGGAAGAAAGGAAAATAAGAATAAAACTTGTAAAAAAAGAAAAAGACCGAAAACATAATTTCATCTTTCTAGTTAACTGCCACATCATCAATTAATGGTAATTTGAACGAAAATACTTGATTGAAAATTTTTAAAAAATTAATATACTAAAACGAAAAAAATTAAAGTTGATATACTCGATTAAAAAAAATTCCAAAATTGATATAATGAAAATACAATTATTTCGGACAAATTTAGACAATCTTATCAATCTAATTTATTAGAGGTACAAAAATATCATTTATGATTCAAGGAAGTTGACAAAGAATTCACAACAAATGAGAAGAAATGTCAAGTTTGGAGGAGAAAAAAAAACAATGAAAATGATTGGCTAAAGCATGCTTAATCCATTCAAATGTTTGTTTCTCCTAACAATTTGTATCTCCAAATAAATACATCATTATTTTAGCAAAGAAAATATAAAAGCGATAAAAAAATATATTATGATGAAGGAGATATATGTCATGATATATCATTATTTTCATTGGACACATGATGGTCGGTTGGAGGATCGGTAGATGAACTACCTCTTTACATATTCAACAATATCTATTGCATCTGTTGCATTATTGCATGTTGCTTCTAAGTATACTACTCCAATCACCTTTCATTTTCTAAGAGCAATGTAACAATACCCTCTAATTTCTAGATCTTTTCTTCTTATCTAGAAGTATTGGCCTCAATTTTCTTTTGATGTGCCTCAATATCTACATGAAACCGCAATGTGGTCAAACTTGAGGATGTAATGACATTAGAATAATAATGAAAGGCTTGCGACCCAAGTCCGTACATCATCTTCCTCTTACTTGTCTCCTCCTCTAACAGTTTTCTTAAAAATCTCATTCATGTCAAAATCAAGCGATGAAGTACCTTCGTCTCCCAGCTACCAATCTCCTTCTCAAATATTTTCTCGATGGTCTCCTACGTAATTGATCAAATTTAAATATTAAATAGTTGTCTCAACAAGTTATATAAAAGAAGCATGCGTAGTTAATAAAACTATAAATTACTTATCTCAAGATTTTTTGCCTACCGATCATTGAATATGTACTTATCATCAACCTTCCTTCGGTGAGTCTTCAAGAAAACCTCGTGAGCATCGAGCTTATGATCCAACTCTATACTCGAAACAAATATACTTAAATGTTTATTAATGTTGCAATAACTATAAATAACAAACCATATATAAATATATATCAAACATATTGGAAATTCAAGATGTCACGATAGTTGTTTGGTTAAAAAGCCTAATACTGAATCTTAAAAATTTTAGTTAGCCTTAAGCCTGTCAAACAGTACTGACGATAGCTCACACAGATTTTCATAACCATCTTCGAGGACCAAAGAGTGGCAATGGGGTATCAAAAACTTCTAATATCTTCTCTTAATAAGCATGAAGCTTTTATATTAAATGGCATCTTAAACAAAGCAATTAATTTGCACCCGTATAAGGCAAAACTATTGCAAAGAAAAAGAGTCATTGCTGCAGTTGAAGAAAATAGAAAGGTTGGACAAAATATAATTATAAAATGCATAGGGACATCAATTGAATCAATTACTAAATTTTTTTTATATATAAAAAAAATGGTCCATTCAGTGAGAAAAACAGGTTCAAGAAAGAAAGCTAATTATAATAAAAGATTGCGATTGATGAATGGATTGAACTAATATGTTTCTATAACCTTAAAAAAATGATATAATAAGGAATTACAAAAATTGATCTAAAGCCAATTGATAAAATATAATGGATGGACTGCCAAGGAAAATACATACACCTAAAATCTATTCAAAATCCTAAAGCTTGCACTATAGATACATTGATTTTTTTTATTTACAAAGATGTTTTTTATTTACTAAGAATAGGCAAGTTGCTTGCTCTTAGAATAAAAACATACAGTATTACCACAACTTGACTTGGCGGCCAGTCGTAGTAATTAATTTTTCAATATTTATATAAATAAGTAATTACTTAAATCACGTGTGATAACAAAAAAGGTATTATATATATATAATAGTGTGCCCAGGTTGATGAACCAAGAAAAGTTAGGAAGTAAATTAAAATTTGTTAAGTTTGGGCTGTCTTCAATTACCTTATGCTCAAGCCTGCCCAGTTTGAAAGATGACCCATAAATTGACAATCCAAGAAAAGTAGAGTAGACTACACATCCTTGGGCCTAATTACTAACAAAAGCTTACAAGTGAGGCAGCAATTCTAACAGCCCAGATATGATTTCTTGTTAATAATTTAATATTTGTTATACTGTAATAAATAAACATTCTTGAAATCTCCTATACCATAGTTTAAATTTTTATATTAAAATAATTTTTGATATAGTATCAAAATTTTAAGAGTATGAGTTTAAATAATATCACAACGATTTTTTCAATTAAAAGTCATATTTAAAAACTAAATTATTAATTTAATGGATAGGGACCAACCTTTTAGTTGCAAATGAAAAATTAAATGGATTATGTATGGTTGAATAGTGCATGCACAATAAAAGTTCATTCTCCTTTATTTGTCTTTTTTTTTTTTTAAATAAAGAAAACCACAGAGAAGGAAATATTAACTTATATCACATGTTACTTTGGACATAATACATACCAATGGTAAGCCTTCAATGAAAACACTTTTTTATATAAAACAAAAACAACGATAGCAAACGTACAAATAATTATTAAATAAAAAAAGTAAGAAATTAAATATATAAAAATTAAAAATATAATAAATCTATCTTATGAAATTCAACATAAAAGCATAACAAAGCACCTATTCTTGAAGACCCAAAACTCAACATCCAATCTCAAAAACAAAAATACAAAAAAAAAATAGTAATAATAATAATCAATTAACACTTAACATAACAATAATTTTAGTTTAAGAAATGGCAACTTCTCCTCCCGCAACCATCTTCATAACCAATTTCTATCATGACTACCGTCAAAAGCTACACATGTAAATCATCGATCATAAAAACTAGCATTTGGAAAAAAATAATAGAACCAAATATTTGGAGGTCTTAAAACACTTAATTATGTAAATTTTAAAGATTTTGAAATTAAAAATCAATGTAAAAATACATAAATCAACTAAATCTTCAATCTTTAGGCCCGCGAACTTTGATCGGGAACTTCATTAATTCATACCTTCATCATCTCACAACAACCTATAAAAAATACATAAAGTTGAAAAAAAATGACAAAAACAAAAAAATTTTGAGAAAATCATAAAAATTTAAATTGAAAGACTTAATAAATAAAGCTAAAGCTACATATATAGACTTTAAGAATTCTCAAAATAATTTTATGTAAACAAAGATAAAAGAGGGATGAAACAAAAAAAAAAACCGAGAGAAAAATTAAATTATAAAGCAAAAAAAAAAAAAACAAAAAAAAACCATTACCAAGATCAAAACAAATTTTCGAGCTTTATTAAGGATAAAAATATATCAAAATCGAGTTTTTAAGTATCATGTTTACTTGTAAATCGGGGAAAAAAATATAAATTAGTCCTTGTAATGGATTCAATTAACCTTAAATATTTAATAAATTTATAATCAAATAATATAATTTTTAAATTCTATAAACATATCGAGTAGCTCGAGATTGAAAAATTAATGTGTAATAAGTGTAATTAGCATGAAAAATTAAGAAATTAAAGTAAAATTAATTATCATAATTTTATTTTTCTCATAATTTTATGTTTAATCCCTCTTACTGCTTTCATTTATCTTTGTTCATATAAAATTACAAACTTAAGATTCGACTCTCTATATTTAGATCTCATATCCTTGAAACTCTTTTTTTACCTTAGACAATCATGTCTCCTCCTCTCTTTAACTATAAATAGTCATGTAAAATAACTCTTTCAAAATTGTTCATTGTCAACCACTCACGACTAGCATTTCAACTCATCATCATCATTGTCATTGTCAATTCTCTTAGTTTTGCTCTTTTTTCTTATGTTTTCCACTTTTACTCTCAACAAATTTTCCATCTCTTTTTCAATATGACAATAGAAATAATAAAAAAAAATGAAGAGAAAAAAAAAGTATTCTAAAAGTCGAAAGAGTTGAAAAGAAAACTATGAATTTTTGTAGAGAGAGGCAAAGCCGACGTTTGAGCTTTTCTCTTCTTCCTTACGAAGGATCATGCATCCTATAGAGGTGTGAAATAAAACAATAAATTTCCTCCATCTAAAGGGCCAAAGATCATGCTTGTTGAATCGACTACCCATATATTCATGAATTAAAGCATTAAATAAAGAATTATCTCTTGTAGCGCGATTTAAACCTTTACGGAAAAGGAGTCATTTAAGTGTTTCCTTGTCCTTAGAGGACAAGGAGAGGGGTGGCAAATAAGTCCTAATTGGACTTATGGTTGTTGCTTCCTAATCCTCGAAAGGATTAGGAGTTATTTTACATATGAGTTTTTTATCTTTATCTTTAAAACATTCATCCTTATCCAATAAAGTTGATATTTATCCTCCCATCAAAATATCTTAAGGCTTTTAATTAAACCTATTAAGTCATAACTATGTTGTTCCAATTAATTTATTTGGACTATCCAAATAAATAATCTTAGATAATTTTAGGCGACCCATATTAGGAAACAATATTCCAAAATACCCTTTAACCTAATTTAGAAAACTCATTTACATTTATGTTATTTACTTCTAAATTTGAAACTAACTTCTAAATTAGAAAACTGATTTCTAAAATAGAAAACTTTCCATTTTGGAAACCTTTTTCAAAATAGAAAACTTTCCGAATTGAAAACTTTTTCTAAGATATTTGTTTCTCTTTAATCATGTGAATGCTTAAACTTATGTGTGTGACTCTATAGGCTTTTAGATATGTTGACAAATGTATCAAGAACAAAAGACTCCTCTTTTATCTATTGATACATAAATTAATATTGACCTCTAGCAAGACATCATGACTACCTAATTCTTTAGGAGGATTAACCAATCCATTATTACCTTTCACGAGCATGATTACCATACAATTCAGTCATCATGTCAACTTATCATAGTGTGATCTCAAATTTGGTTATAAGTCTTGTTCGATTATGATTACATAAGTTTTCTTCGATTCTCAAATGTTTTAGCTCTTAAAGTAAACCAACTATGTTTTATTAGTGTACTCCTATTGTGGTCACGGATTTCTCGAGTAGACATTTATTGAAGTGTAATGTGATAAACTCCTTTAGCATACAAGGAATGACATATCATATCTTAGTCATACACCTACCTTTATTAGATTCCTAGCGTACCCAATGAATCGTCCACGTGTAACCCTTTACTAGGTCCATCAAAATGAGTGTCAAAATGCATAAATTCCGTAATGAGATAACCATGATGACTTCAAGTCTAAAGACCAATTGTACCTATCTCGTAAGAGATTCCCATAGACTAAACCAAATGGGTTCTTATGATGAGTCAAGTCCGGTGATATGTTCTCTAACATAAACATAAATAATCTAAGTGCTTGCTTTGGCATCACCATGCCAATAGGTGTGAGATCTCCTACTCGTTATCATATAGCATGAGCATAGCACTCACAAGTCTATCCGCATATAATCAAAGTCCATTCTTAATAATGTTATGACTTGAGATGTTTAATGATTTCATTTATATGCATTGGTGTTTGTCTCACATCTTTCGATCAATCACCATTGCAAATTCATATAATAAGAACTTCTATCTAATTACTGAATTAATAAACATAAAAACATAAGAATTAATAAAAGGACTTCTTTATTATTATTAAAATAAATGATGCAATAATACAATAACTCAAGCTCATCCAAACATGGTTGGATCTTGAGCACCTACACTAACACTAAATTTTCCTACTTTGTTTTTTTTTTCTCTTGTGTTCTTTTCATATGTTGTCGCGAGATCTCCTCCTATTTATAGGAGAAAATTTTACCTTGTCCTTAAAGGACAAGGAAGGGTGGCACCTAGTCCTAAAAGGGACTCTTGGTTGTTGCTTCCTAATCCTCATTAGGAGTTATTATGCATATGGGTCCTTTTGATCTTATCCTTTAAAACATTCATTCTTATCAAATAAGGTTCATATTTATCCTCCCACCAAAATATCTTTCGGGCTTTTAATCAAACCTATTTGCCAAACCATTTTTTCCTAATTAATTAATTTATACTATCTAAATAAATTAGATTAAATAATTTTAGGAGGCCTACCTTAGGAAATAATTTTCTAAATTACCCTTAAACCTAAATTAAGAAACTAATTTCCTTTTAGGTTATTTACTTTCAAATTTGAAACTAACTTCCAAATTAAGAAACTAATTTCTAAAATAAAAAACTTTCTAATTTAGGAAACTTCCATTTCGAAAACTTCTATTCTAGGAAACTTTTCATTTTCGAAACCTTTTCCAAAATTGAAAAGTTTATCTAACATCTTTACTTCTCTTTTATTATGTGAATGCTTAAACTTATTCGTGTGACTCAATAGGCTCCTAGATATTTTGGTAATGTATCAATAATAAATCAATATTGACCTCTACCAAGGCATCATGACTACCCAATTCTTTAGGAGGATTAATTAATCCATAATTATCTTTCACAAACATGTTTACTATACAATTCATTCCTCATATCAACTTATCATAGTATGATTTCAAACTTGGTTATTAATCTTGTTCGATTACGATCACACAAGTTTTCTTCAATTCTCAAATGTCTTGACTCTTAGAGTAAATCAACTATGCTCTATTCGTGTACCCTACTATGGCCATAGATTTCTTGAGCAAACATTCATCAAAGTATAATGTGATAACTTCTTTAGCATACACGAAATGACATATTCTATTTTAGTCATCCACCTACCTCGATTAGTTCCTAGTGCACTCAATGAATCGCACGAATAGTCCATGTGCAATCCTTTACTCGGGTCCATTGAAACGAGTGTCAAAATACATAAATCCTCCAACCAGATAACCATGATGACTTTAAGTCTAAAAACTAATTATAGCTATCTCATATAAGATTCCCATAGATTAAACCAAATGGGTTCTCATGGCGAGTCAAGTCTAGTGATATGTTCTTTAACATAAATCACCTAAGTGCTTACTTTGACATCATCATGCTAATAAGTGTGAGATCTCCTATCGTTATCATATAGCATAAGCATAGTACTCGAAGTCTAACCGTATCTAATCAATGTTCATTCTTGACAATACTATGATTTGAGATATTTAATGATATCATTTACATGCATTAGTGTTTGTCTCACATCTTTCGATCAATCACTAATGCAAATGCATATCATATAGACTTTTATCTAATTCTATTCAATAAGTAAATATAAACATAAGAATTAATAGAAATACTTCTTTTATTATTACTAAAATAAATAATGCACTAATATAATAACTCAAACCTATTCAAACATTGTTGAATCTTAAGCACCTACAATAACACTTACATCATAGGAAGGACGGGGAGAGAAAGAGGAGGGAAGAGAGAGTGGATTGAAGGAAGAGAACGCTAGATGCAAAATAAAAAGTGATATTATGAGAATAGATGATAAGAGTGGAGAAACTTATTTGCTTTTGACATAATTATCAAAATTGAACCATAAACAATTGAAAGGTGTGGAGAGGAGGTCAAAATACAAAACAAGAAAAAAAAAAGGCTAATCTTGTTTAAAACAAACCAATACCTTTGAAATAATAATAATAATAATAATGAATCATATTTTGAACACTAGTACCCTCTCTAGAAAACGATGATGAGAAGGAAAAAAAAAGAAAATGAATGAAACGAGTGAGAGAAACAAGGTTAAAGAGCGAGTGTTTTAAATGCGAAAAGTCAAAGCTCAAAAATAAAATGACAAAAAAGAGCATTAAAATTGAAGAAGAATATGCAAAAGATGACAAAGCAATTTAACACAAATAATAATGCCATAAAAACAATTAAACAAAGAACACGGGGTCAACATACCGTCAACTTATAGAGGGAGGAATTAAAATGTCAAACTCACAATCAACATATAAATCGCACGACCAATATAAAGCATGATAAAAATTGAATAACCAAAAGCAAGAAATGACGAGGTCACATATGGAAAAAAGAAAAAAAGAAATAAGGACTAAAAACAAAATCGAACCGCCACGAATGGACAATGATAAAAGATGAGCAATCGAGACCCAAAGAAAGGAGAAACACAATTAGAAAGTGTCTTCGTCCATAATCCATTTGAGTGTGAATGAATAGTGGAAGAATAGTAAACCTTATATTTTTTTCAGTTTGTTTTGTTAATGGGCATCCATAAGGATGAGTTTAGGTTTCTATGTTAAAAAATATAAAAACATGTTTAGTAACAAGTTTAGTGATATGAAAGCAATGCGGTAAGAAGGTGTTTATGGGGATAATTTTATGGGGGTAGATCATTGGAACTTGGAACTAATTTTGGCTATGGTTTAATGAAAAATTTTTCCCTCATTCTATTGCGATTTGACAAATTCGGATCCCTAGTACCAAATCACATAATTTGAACCCTAAAGTAGAGACTAACAAATGTGATCCAAATTACATAATCTTCGTTATGTGTAACGGTTAGCCTAATTGACCATTACTTGAAATGTCAAAACGATGTCGTTTTAATATTTTGCTGTCCATTATGTTTTTATTTTAAAAAAAATTTTAAAAAATATTTTAATCCCCTAATCTTGAACTTTTTTTAAATTTTTTTTCCTTATAAAATATTATAAACATTTTATAAAGGACATAAAAACATTTTAAAAATATTTTTAACCTCCCCGATTTTGAACTTTTTTTATAATTTTTTTTTATAATATATAAAATTAGAGGGGTCATTATGCTCATTTTAATTTATAAAATATTTTTTAAGATCTAAACTCATGTATTGTTAATTATGTTTTTTTACAATAATATTTTATAAAAAAAAGGTTTTTTTAAAAAAAATGTTCAAAATTAGGGGGTTAAAAATATTTATAATATGTTTTTTTATATATAATTTATAAAATGTTTATAATATTTTATAAGAAAAGTTTTTTTTAAAAAAGTTCAAGATTGGGGAGGCTAAAAATATTTTTAAAAATGTTTTTTTTTATAAAAAAAACACAATTAACGACGAAATGTCAAAACGACATCATTTTGACATTTATAGTAATGGTTAACCTAGTTGATCTGTTATACATAATTAGAATTTGACAATTTTGATTATATTTATCTAATTTTTAATAATTTAAGATTCAAATTACACAATATGATATTATAAGGATGAAATTGTTAAATTATAATAGAATAGGAGTAAAATTTGTCATTAAACATGTTTACTACTGCCACAATGTTGAGAATTGAAAGTGATCATTGGAGTTTTTATTTTTTATTTTATATAATTTCCATTTAATTTTTTTGAAATTTTTAAAATTTGACTTAAGAATAGTTTTTTTGAATGTTTTTTACTCGGAGATTTTGGAACCAAAATACAGTTGGGAAAATGGAGTAAGAAAGGGTGACTGAAAATAGGAATCCAAACAAATGAATTATTTTGGTTTTTGATCAAAAGTTTGAGAAGGTCTGAAAGTTGTAATTCTGAAGTCTAAACACTCGTTTGGTTGTCTCCCTGCATTAAATGTTCTTGCTCTATGATAATTGATCAGAGTCGTACATTGAGGAAAACTGAGAAAGTGGAAGGCCCAATCCTTAACCAAGGCAAGTGACTGCAAAAGAAAGCCCATTGAACCAACATTTTTGCAAGTGTAGGTTGGTTCTTTTTGGGTTGCAATAATTTAAGGTTGCTAACCTTTGAAGGCTGTTAACCACAAGAAGTTTCATATATTCATAGAAGAACATGGCAAAAACTATGGCATATATAGAAGAGTATGGCCTGCTATAATCACCAGATTCCATCTCATGACGCAAACCACAAGCTCAAAGAAGTGGTTAGTAGATTATTAATTGCCAGTCAAAATCTAACGTCGAAGGATTTCCCCACCAAGCCGGCTATAATCATCATCAATATTATTCTAATTTCTACATGTACGTGGATCATGTCATTGCCATTTATATATAATTACATGCTTGACAAAGATAGTGTCACCTTGATCAAGTGACAGGAGTGGAATCTACTCCCTTTAATCTTCATCACCCTCTCGTTCTGATGATAAAAAATTGCATGTGGAGACAAACAATTATAACAAGAAATTTACTTAATAGAGCCTTCTCGATCTCATCGCACTTGTTGTAGTTGTTAGGGATTGTGGCCCTTTGCTTCCTGTTTCTTGGTCGAATTCAACCGAAAGATCCATGTCTAACAGCCCCAGATGTGGACAGCTAATCCTCTCCTATATCATAAGGCATCAAATTCTTCGAAGCCTTTTACATATTTACAGATTTTGCTTAACGATCATGTAATTTGCAACTTTTTTCAATGCGATGAAGAATATTTGAATCCAAGTGATTTTAAATTTTCTTTATTTTAATGCGATGAAGAGGGGAAACTCTTTTGATCTTTTAATAAACTCAACATATATATATATATATATATATATATATATATATATATATATATTAGATTCAAACGACTCTAGCTGGCGCTGCATTACATGATGTCTAGTTAAAAAAAGCAGCACCATAAAAGGTGGCGTAAAACAAGACCATATGCATTGACCTGTGTATTCTTTAGGAAGGGCAAATGAGTAGGGGAAGGAAACTTGCATTGTGCACAGGGCATTCGGGAGCAATTTAGGGAGGGTAGGTTGATTGTTAAGGGTCCCATGCATGGACCAATTGAACTAATGGATTACCAACACTCTTAACATCTTGTTTATAACACATATAAAAAACTATTATAAATTAAAATGAATAAAGAATTAAAATATTTTACCTAAAAGAATTGGATTTAGGATCATATGAGATGGTAATTTCATAATATATAAATGATTAAACACATCAATTTATAGATGCAGCTAGATCAATATATAAAAATTCATGAAGACTTTATAACCGTTTGTCATTAACGTACATTAATTTAAAAAATATTTTTTTAGTATAACTTGACATTATTCTTAGGTTACAAAATATTAAAAGATCATTCTTTCTCATTTAAAAAGTATAACAGCAAAGTTTGATGATTTTGACCAAAATTAACTTTTATGGTAAATATTAATTTTTTAATAATAATAATAAAAAAAAAACAATCGGACACAACTAATGAGGCAAGTCATGGTATCGGACATGATGAGTCGTTTCGAAAACGTTGAAAAATATTTGAAACAAAACCGATGTAATTTGATGATTCAAACATTGAGTTCAACTTGTCTGCATGTATTTTTGAACCAAAAAAGGGACCACTAGTCACTGAAAATTGGAAAAGAAATTGGGATTTTGGTAAAGGATTCAGTTGAATTATATATATATATATATATAGATTTCTCATGTCTTGATTTTGATTGTCAGCATTGGCAAGAGAGTAAGTAATTTCATGATTCAATCACATGTGAAGTTTCCAAGAGATTACTCCTACCAAATAATCCAATTATTTCACCATCAAAATGAAAATTTAAATTTGAAGTAATTGAAAGTGTACCATGTCTGTCCATTTTCATATTCCGTGAACCCAAAAAAACAAACTACAGACGACGTATTACAACACTTGTTGACAAAGTATTTCCTTGGACCATACGTAGTAATCATTTTTACCAATGCCTTGCCTGTTTTCAATGTTCACCAATGCTGAATTGACCCACGACAGTAAAAAATTCAAAATTAATAAAAATAAATAAATAATCCAATTATTTCTTATAAATCGAAAGGTCTAGATTGAATAATGACGTCCATTTCAATTTTCAATTTTTTTTTACCCCGAAGCTAAAAAACAACACCGCTACGCTAGGGCCCTTCCTTCAAAATCCTGACATTAAACCGACAAAAAATTGCAATCTTTCTCCAGAATCAAAACACACACCATTTCCCATACAAAACAAACCCCACAATTATCAAATGATGACTGAGTAAATTATGACTCAGTTCTTATTTTCTTAAGAAAATAATAAATTACTCTTCTAGTTAAAAAATCCTATATATAATCCCTATTCTTTCACACACATTTATAACTTAATCTCTTTTTGTTATTTATCCATCATTGAGATTCCGACATCCTACTTTATCTATTAGCTGAAAAAGTGAAAGAATTGGTCCTTTTTTTTTTTTTTTTAATAATTTGATGGTCAAAGTGGGACAAGGGACTAACATATTATTCACAAAAAAGATGGAATAGGTAATTGTTTAATTAAGATTACAAGGATTAAGTTATAATTTAATCAATAACAACTCCACCCAAACGACCCCTCTTCTATTGCCAACCAAAACATTACAGTGAGGATTTGGACTTAACAATATTACCATTTATGTTTCATGTTTAGTTATTAATTTTGAATTAAGAAAAATAAAATAATAATGAGTTAACTAGTTTTGATTTAACAAATATGAGGATGATGTTATTATATAAAAGGATGTAAATCCATTATAAAAAAAATGCATTTTTAACCTTTTAAAATGTTATTAACAGACAAGAGAGAGTGTATGTCCACGTGTACATGGGTTGTGGTCTGTCTCTTGAATGATAATAATTATTGAATGGGAGAGGGAAAATGGGAAAGCAAGAAAAGAATTCGTTGTTTCATTTGAAAGTCTTTGTAATTCCCATGCTGTCACGTATCTGTTTGCCATATGATAGTCAATATCATTAATAACTGCTTTAGCTCGCAGGCCACTGTCATCCATTCTTCGTTGTTCAAGTCTTTTTCTAACTTATGACAACTACTCTTTAATGGCAGTAACATTAAAAGGCAATGACTAGTCACATAATTTGACCAAAATAAACTTTTATTAGTAGATGAAGGGACGAGGGTGGAGTTTGTTACTTTGTTACGAGTAAATTAAAGGACAGACAGAGGTTACTGTTTCTCATTTACCCTTTTTGAGTTCTTGAACTTAATAGTAGTAGACTCAATTGATGTGCTTCTGTTTTCAAGAACTAGCTCAGGTACTTTTCTTTCTTTACCCCTCTTTCTGCTACTCCTACTATGGTTTTTCTGTTTCTTGCTCGTGTCTATCATTTGGTAATTGTCCAGGGAGATTCAAGAAATGCGAGTTTGTGTGAGTTCGTGCTGTATTATGTGAAAAAATATATTTTTTTTTCTTTTTTTGAAAGGATTGGATTGGTAGTTGACGAAAGTTTTGTGAAGTTGTGTTTCCTGGTTTCGACTTCACTGTGAAATGTGTACAAGAATTGATTTAGTTTTCTTTGTTTGGATATCTTTTCTGGAAATTGGATGGAAGTTGGAAATCATTAGAATTTGAAGAAAATTCTACATCCAGATACGATTTCTGAAGCTGTGTGGAGAGAATTATTAGGACTCAGTAGCAGACCTTGAAACAATTCTTACCATACATCATTTTCAATTTGTTTTTTTGCTGTTGGAGAAATAAAATTCTAAGGCAATTCGAACGCTCGTAATCCATCCAAAAAGTCTTGGTTTTTCTGTATTTCACACCTATATTTGTTTCTTGCTCAGATTTAATGCTGGCATTTTGCTGAAACTGTGATTGGATGCATATTTCATACCATGTCGAGCACTTATTCTCATATCATGGAAAGGAGATCGCCTAAGAGCCCTTTGCCGAAGAGCCCGTTTCCGAAGAGCCCTATGCCACAGAGTCCTGAATTCTACCAAAAATACAAGTCTAAATGTGCATATGGCTTAGTTAATTTCTTTCATTTCCGCCAAAGTCACTCAAAGAAGCTGATTTCTGATAAAGCAGTTTTGAAGAGACATGGTGTTGGTAAGAATTCTTTGATTTATGTTGTATTATAATAACCTAACATGATTTAATGGGTTCCGTCCTGGTACTGCAGAAATGAAGAAAATCGCGTGGGAAGATATGCCCATCAAGCAGCAGATAAAGAAGAGCACTGCAAAAGTGGATCATGTACAATCTGATTCTGAACTTGTTGGTGACCGATCAACAAGCCATGGGAAAGCAATCAAGGCTACTAGGAAACCTCGTCGTTTACCTATTTACGGTTGTTATGATGTAGCAACCATGGGGCACGCGAAATCTGTTCACGAAAATTCAGTGGATGATTCTTCAAAAACGTTGGAATCTGCAGTGACCGAAGAGTCACTCTCCAATCAAGTGCAACCTAAAAACGAAAGCAATTGTAAATGTAAAAGTATCTGTCGTGGAAGGCATGACCAGTCTAAGGAAATCAACCTTCAGATTCGCATGAATGAAGCAACTGAAGCATTTATAAATCAGAAGTTGATTGATGGAAAACACCCCACCACAGATGGGGCAAATGACCAGTCTAAACATTTCATGGATGCACTAGAGATACTGAATTCGAACAAGGACTTATTCATAAAACTCCTACAAGACCCCAATTCTCTACTGGTGAAACATATTGAAGACTTGCGAGACTCTCAGGCAAAAATGCAGCGGATTAAATGTTACCACAAAGATAAATTGTCAGAACAACAGAAAAATACTTCAAGAGAATGCAAAAGGACTGTCTGTACCCAAAACTACAACGCCAGTGATGGATACATGTCCAAGGGAACTGGTGATCCTCAACCCTTGGAGACTATAGTAGTTTTGAGGTCTGGCTCCACAAGCTTGCAAAACTGCACAGATCGAAGCAGTCATGACTCTCCACTGATTCATTATAGGTTGAAAAATGTGCAGCAGAGTGTTAAAGCTTCATATTTTCCCTTTGTCAAAATGAAAAGAAAGTTGATGCATGCTATGGGGGTAAGCAGTAAAGAGCAGCAGTTGATGCTGACTGATGATGCCGTGCATAAGTCTAAATATGACTTCCAGGAGAGTGGAAAATGTGGCGGAAGAGGTTTGGAGGTTGATGAAAGAAACTCACCCGGTGAAACCTCTTGTTATTTTGCAAGAATGGCCATGGATGTCAGGAGTAAAGACCAGATGGACAAAGTGGAATTAATTGAATCTAGTGCTAGAGAGGAAGCTGCTTCAGCTAGTGAAGAAGGTGGTCATGAAAGCTCAAAATTTTCAAATTTCAGGCATTTCAAGGAAGGTAAGAATGACAAATATGTTGAGACTAGGGTGCATCTCTCTGACTTTTTAAAGAATGAAAATGTGAATCTTTCAAGAAAGCAGAGACCAAAAACCTGGGATGGGATGAGGTCTCTTCCTGAAGATGAATTCTTGCCTACGGTCAGTCCTAGATGTAAAGCGGAGCATGACCGTGTTACTCCACAAATGAGATTTTCTCCCTACAGCAGTTATCAAATGGTGAACAAGAACAAGTGGGGGAATCAGAGTGAAAAGAGAAACAACATAAATCCACCACTGCAGAATTTAGAGGATCCATCGTGGGACAGTGACAAAAGTTGTGATCATCAATTACAAATCATTGAGACAAAACAAAATATTTCAAACAAAGTTTTCCCTGATGTCACAGCAGATGAAAACTTCTCTTCTCTTGAAAATGATTCAAGCCTTCGAGGTGAGCTTTTGTCAATCGAATCTTCATCATGCTTGTAATTCTGTTTCGTATAAGCAGTACATCATTTTCTACAGGTTCCACCAACATAATAGGAAAAAGATTCAGTGAAATTTCAGAAGACTATAGTCCCTCTGGTGTGCCTTCCAGACTAGATGGCTCGCACTATAGCGATAGTAATGAAAGTTCTTGTGCAACAAATACAACTGCCGAATGTGAATCCTCAAAGTTCTTTAGACTGGTAAATGGCTGTTTCCCTTTTTATTGAACTGTTAAGTCTTTCGATTTGTTTTGTGAGCTTGTTTTGTTTGTTGATTTCCTGCAATGCAATGTCGCTCGTGCATCATTTCCTGCCTTCAAATTCTCTCTTTCAGGATACATCTGCGGAGAATCAGACATCACCATCTTCTACAAGCGATTGTTTATCAAGCCCTTTAAACATCCAGAGTGTTGAAGACCTAGACAAGGTCAAAGAGAGGGCAGAGCAGCCAAGTCCAATATCTGTCCTTGAGCAATTTTTCATGGACGATATGATCACTAGCCCTTCAAGCCATGCATCACGACCTGGTAAGCTCTTACGTTAAGGAATTATTACATGTACTTGTTCCTAATTTTGCAATCTTGTTAACAAAATTAAAGTCATGCAGCTGAACTATCAACCTTGGCACTAAGAATAGGTAATGAAGAAGACTACTTAGCGGCCCTTGTTCACTCCCCTTTGGATCTGAAGATCAATTCGGGCACTTCTTTGGAAGAATGTGGGTCTGTGTTTGAGTGTATAGGTGCACTTTTGAGAGCTTCTGGATTTAATTTGGATGACCTATCATCAAAGTGCCATGGTCAGTCCTGTGGTGATCACAAGCTTGTTTGTGATTATTTTTTCGAAGTCCTTCTAGAGGTATACCAGTACTACTTGAGAAGCTCTCCTTGGTTATCATTTATCGAACCAAAAGTTCGACCTGTTACGATGGCAGAAAACATGGTTCAACAAGTGATGAAATATGTTGATCAGAACATCCTCTTACAGCCACCTTCGCGAACATTAGAGCATTGTGTTGAAAAGGACTTGACCAACTCTGCAACGTGGTTGGATGTCCGGATTGATGCTGAAGATGTTGTTAGTATGATAGTAGAAAGTGTTCTGGAAGAAGTGATAATAGAGACTGCTATTGAGTGAGTAGTTAGTAGTAGCATCCTCTGTTGCTCGTGGGTTTGGTCAAAATTGCACAACAGGATTCTGCCAGGCAGCTTGAGCAGGTTAACATGATTGGCTTTTCTACGTTCTAGATCATGTAAGTACATGTTTACACATTGCCACAAGGAGTTTTTTAAGAATTGCAGCGCCGGCATGGGACAAAAATGGGGAAAGTTGAGTTAACTGACTGGCAATTGGTCAGATACTGCTTAAACCAAGGCATGCAGCTTAAACTTCCTGCATGGAGTAGAGTTTAGTCTAAAGCTTCAACAGCCATCCATTATAGGACTCCGCTTTTGTTAATTGTAAAGATAATCATACTGGACTGAATTATTATCATGGATATACCATCAGAGCCGGTCAGATAGGCTCCAGTAGTTTTGATGCTTTATGATAAATCCATTTCTTTCTCGTATGCCAAGACAGGTGCATGGCGCTCACTGAAGTTGTTCAGGGAGATTGGTTTACTCGTAGAAGGTTGTTTGTTAGTGTAGTTGTCTTTGTATTTTGAGGTAGATAAATCATGTTAAAATTTCTTGTTTCTTTACTTTCTCCCACATCCTCATATTCTGATAGATAGAAGTGTGTCATGACTTCGGAAAGCTTACTTACGGGGCTTCAACCTCGAGTTGAAGTTTGTACCAGCTCATTTCGTTTCAGAGTGTTCCCCTGGACCTGGTTCAGGAAGGTTTCACCTCTGTTTCGTGAAGCTACTGCATCCACGCTTAATTCTTTTGTCCATCTTCAATTAAGCAGACTAGAATGCTATCTATGATGTTACGATAAATTATCATTGCCTATATCGCTACCTGACGTTAGGATTCCTGAAAAAATTATTTAAGTTTTGTTTTGTTCTTTTTTTTTTTTGAATTTTTTTTTTAATGTGAGGTATTTATTAAAATTAGAGTCGTCATCTAGTATGAAAGTAATCTAAAATGAACATTGGTTTAGAGATTGTTGGGTAAGGAGTTGTTTTTTCTTTTATAAAGATTTCAATCATTCAAAAGCATCATTTATTAAGAAAGATATCAATATCTAGTTTAGTCTTAAAATTTATCCGTAAAAAATTTTTATTTTTTATTTTTTTATCAAGATTGATCCTAAGTCAAAATTTCAAGTTTTATTCTCTAATCCAATTTTTTTTTTTTTTTTTTTGTGGCATCTTACTGAACCGATCATCGGACCTCTTCATCGGATGTCATGTCAATTCAATACCAAATCTAATTTAAGTCTCCACATAATCGGTATAACAAAAAATAACCTAATTAATAAAGTGATTAATTTTGGTTAACATCGGTTTCTATTAGATAGAAGACTTTATTAAATTTTCTCCTTGTTTTTTTATTATATATTTACCTGGGATTTTCTCTCTCTTTTTTTTTTCCTTTTTTTTTCTTGCCCTTTTCTCTTTTTTTTTTTTATCTAAATTAATTTTCTCTTCCTTATGATTTTTTTTTTGCTTATTATTTTTCATTTTTTCGTTGTTTGTTTTTTAAATTATTAGTGGCAAGAAATCGTTGTCAAGTCTTAAAAATTAAGAGATTTAATGATTCGTCTATCTATTAATTATTATTATTTTAATTGTTGAAATAAAACCTAAACAATTAAACATTTCAGTTAAATAAATAAATCTACAATTCAAATGTATTAAACTTAAACTAGGCATGAAAATAAAAGGCATATATTAAAAATTCAGAACTGATTTTCCTAGGAAAAGGATTAAAAAAAGAAGAAGAAAAAAAAAGAAAAAAGAAGAAGAAGGGGTTATTGGGTCCTTTGGGCCTAATGGGCTTTCGGCCCATTGCCAGACCTGTTGGATTTTGTCCTTTTGACTGGGCCTGGGCTTGTCTGAAGGCAGCCCTCTCCTCCCCTTCTTCTTTCTTTTTCCAGGCTGGGCTAGTCCCCAGGCTACTTTTTTCACCTTTTTCTTTCGGATTGGGCTAACCCAATCTAGCCCCATAACTCCCTCTTTCTTCCTTTCTTTCTTCGGGCCAGGTTGAGCCCAGCCCTCTTCCCCTTCTCTTTTCCTTTCTTTCTTTCCTCCTTTTCGTCTTTTCTGTCCTTTCTTTCTTTCCTTCTCTGTTCTTCCTCACCCGAACTGCAGTCCATTCCTTTACATTCCGTCCTTTCTTACCTAGAGACTTTCCCCACAGAAATCAAACTCCCAAACATCTTCATCATCCCATTATCAATAACATGAAAGGGAGCTCACTCTGAAAATGGATTCGCCACTGCCATTTTCCTATTCTTAAAACTTGAAACTAACAGTAAGTATAAAATCAATAAAATGTTTTTTAAAATTTTTTTACGTATTTTAGTAATTGACATTTCGATTAAAAAAAATTTATGATCGCAAAATTTAATAGAAAGACAAATTAAACATTTTAAAAAATTTTATGAACAAATGACATGTAATTGAAAATCTAAAAATAGATAAAAAACGTTAGGTATTATATAAAAATAAATGAGTATGTTTGCTCTTTTTATTTTTGAATATATATATATTAGTATTTTTTTACTTTTAGGTGTATGTATTTTATGTTACTGGATTTGTTTCTCTCTCTTTCTAGTTATGGTAATCTATTTATTTTTCTAGGTTTAGAAAATGTTTTGCTCCTAAATTTTCCGACGAGTAAAACGACTAATTAGTTATGATAGTTTATTAAAAAGTATTTTTATTATCATTATTACTATTTTACATTATTTTCTTTAGTTTTTCTTCCATAACTTATTTAAAAACGTCATGAATGATCTCTTCAATAAAATTATTCTGCCTTTTAAAAATGGTTGGGATCAGAATAATAAAGTTGACAATATGATCATGTATCAATGACGTTATCAAACAAATATGATTAAGTCTCAATTGATCTTGATCAATTAAAATTGATAATGTTGTTGCAAGATGGTAGAACCATTTACTTTAGAATCCGAAGACCATTCAAAATTAGATTGTGAGAAATTTTTAAAATATGCGTAGATTGTCCTTATTATTTTTTTAAGTATTTACATAATTCATAACTTGACAACTACTATTTAGCGAATACATTTAAAATTTTATTTGATTTTTTTTCTCTTAAAAGATTATTATATTTGATGTATTCTATTTTAGTGCAGCTACGTCTATTCATCAATGAAATTACTTTTTATCATTTTTTTTTTAAAAAAAATGCAAATTCCAAATGCCCCAAACCCGACCCGACCCAATGGCAAGTTGAACAAAATAATCCACATCACAAAAGATTCTCCAATTAAATATCCATTTCACAAAACGGATTCACCTAAAACGGCTAAACCCAACCTCACTTCCCGCCAACCCTCAAAACCCTAATTTCCCTCCTGTCTCCTTTCTTAAACCCCAATTCCTCTCGCTCAAAAAACAGCCACCACTACCACCACCATCTAAATGGACCCAAAAGCAGTGAAATCAGACCTAGTACTAATCCTAGACTACGGTTCACAATATACCCACTTAATCACACGAAGAATCAGGTCCCTGAATATCTTCTCTCTCTGTATCTCAGGCACTTCTTCATTAGAAACCATAACTTCACACAACCCAAAAGTCGTTATCCTCTCAGGTGGACCCCACTCGGTCCATTCTGTCAATTCACCAACTTTCCCATCTGGCTTTGTTGAGTGGGCTCAAAAAGGTGGGATCTTTGTGTTGGGGGTATGTTATGGGCTGCAATTGATTGTGCAGAAATTGGGTGGTCAAGTTGATGTTGGCGAAAGACAAGAGTATGGGAGGATGGAGATTGAAGTGGAGAAGAATTTGGGTATTTTTGGGAACAAGAAAGTGGGGAATAAGCAGGTTGTTTGGATGAGTCACGGTGATGAGGCTATTAAGTTGCCTGATGGGTTTGAAGTTGTGGCTAGGAGTCAACAAGGGGCAGTTGCCGCAGTTGAGAATCGAGAAATGAGGTTTTTTGGTTTGCAGTATCATCCGGAGGTAACTTGAGTTGGATTGGATTTTTTTTATTTTTTTATTTAGTGCTGTGCAATTGAATGTGTTTTTGTGAGTTCTTAAGTATAATTTATTTCTGAAATGTTGCTTGACATCTACTTAAATTTGAAACGTTTAGATGCCTTTAATTGATAAGTTTTATTACACGAAGCAGTTTGCTAAGAATTATAGGAATTTTTGTGTGTTGGTCAAGCATGGTTTCCCAATAAAACTAGGAGGGAGATTGTTATTCTTCTACTGGCTATACAATTGCTCTAACATAAGCAATTAAAACTAGGAAAAGTGATTGTTCCCTCTCCTTTTGCTGTGGATAATGTTTTGGGAATGGCGTAGGGTGAAGACTGTACTTTGTTTTATCATTTGTTGGCATGATGTAGGTGGTGATGCTGTTCAATGTTTTGCAGGTGACTCATTCACCGGAGGGCATGGATACGCTACGATACTTCCTGTTTGATGTTTGTGGAGTCTCTGCAGGTTGGAAGATAGAAAATGTTTTGGATGAAGAAATCAAGGTGATCAATGACACGGTGGGACCGGAAGAGCATGTCATATGTGCATTGTCAGGGGGCGTGGATTCCACAGTTGCTGCAACTCTTGTTCACAAGGCAATTGGAGACAGGCTTCATTGTGTTTTTGTTGATAATGGCTTATTGAGGTGAAGGCAACTACCTTTTTTTCCCCTCCCCCATTAACTACATGACTGGCATCTTCCACTGAAGTTTTTGTCATGTATAATGGTTATATGTCTGTAGGTATAAGGAAAGAGAACGTGTAATGGAAACTTTTGAAAGTGATCTGCATCTACCTGTTACTTGTGTTGATGCATCAAATGAATTTCTTAGTAAGCTGAAAGGCGTGGTAGATCCTGAGATGAAAAGGAAAATTATTGGGAAGGAGTTCATTAGCATCTTTGATGCTTTTGCCCATGAGTTGGAGCAAAAAATGGGAAAGAAACCTGCTTACTTGGTCCAAGGAACCTTGTATCCAGATGTTATTGAATCTTGCCCACCTCCTGGATCTGGAAGAAACCACTCTCATACTATCAAGAGCCATCACAATGTTGGAGGGCTTCCAAAGGACATGAAATTGAAGCTCATTGAACCACTTAAACTTCTATTTAAGGATGAGGTATTGATTAAACTTCTTGCTATCTTTCTCCGTTTTTTTTTTTTTTTTTTTTTTGTGATACTCTTCTCCTTTTCATGTGAAAAGGTTCGTCAGCTAGGAAGACTCTTGAGTGTTCCTGATGCATTTCTGAAGCGCCACCCTTTCCCTGGTCCTGGCCTTGCAGTACGAGTCTTGGGTGATGTAACTGAAGGCAATGCTCTAGATATTCTCCGCCAGGTATATATGTTTATCTTCAGTGCTAAACCTAATCTATCATTTTTATTCTTTTATGCCTTTTGGAAGTTACTCTTTTGATTGCTTTTTCAGGTTGACGAAATTTTCATCCAGTCCATCAAGGATGCTGGGCTTTACGATTCTATTTGGCAAGCTTTTGCAGTGTTTCTGCCTGTAAGATCAGTCGGAGTTCAAGGTGATCAAAGAACTCATTCTCATGTTGTTGCTCTCAGAGCTGTTACGAGTCAAGATGGAATGACAGCTGATTGGTGAGCCTTCTTCTGTTGCATATATGTTTCTTCCTGCAACTCTTTTTTGTGGGTTTTTGTATGTCCTCTCGGTCTATAAATTGTTCAAGATTTGGTTATGTATTTGCTGGCAAGATTCAGATTGTAGGATATCTGCTCTCACACATATGCATGTCTAACCTGTCTCTTTGAAACTTCATTTCCTTTATTTTTCATTATTGGACCTGCTAATATTTGTGGGATGAAGGGATTTACAGTTCTTATTTGCTTTACGAACATTTTTTGCTTACATGGTACTAGACTCCAAACTCAAGACTTCTCTAGATGGGAAAAGGTCAGAAAAGATGTTAGGAATTCAGAAGAGCATCTCAGTTTGTCTTTCCTAGTTAGAAATGTTCATTTGTTATTTAGGCATTCTATCTTGGCAAAAATTAATGCCTCCATTGTCCGTTCATCAGTGCATTAATAAGTTTTACACCCATGCTCGAATGGTGAAATTGCAGGTACTATTTTGAACACAAGTTCCTTGATGACGTGGCCAGAAAAATTTGTAATCGTGTAAGAGGTGTAAACCGAATTGTTCAAGACATCACATCAAAGCCTCCGTCAACGATCGAGTGGGAATGATACAAATCTTGGATCCATGAGCTTTATTGACCATGGTTGTGTCAAGTCAATGTTATATATACATCCATTCATTGCTTTCTCTCTGCCCCAAATTCAGTGATTGGCTGGAAGGCAAATGAGTCGAGTTGATAAGTGATGTGATTCTTTTGCCGCATGATGTCTGGTAGAATCTCTATTACCTAGTTCTTGCAAGGTAATGTTTTTGGACAGATGATCCTATTTAAACATTCTATTGAAACTTTATAAGAGCAATCATCAAACTAAATTTGTTTCTGTGATGACTTACAAAGTTACAATAGGTGGAGTTTTATCCTTTGTGATGCTTTGCATATGAAAGCTAAATTTCTGGTCTTACCCAGTATGGGTGATGCCCCATCTATTCCTTTATGTGGCAATGGCCTGGTGATTAGCAATCAAAACTGCCACGGAACTTCCATAATCAAACAGCAAACTTCACCTATTGCTCATAGTTCTAAACTTAAAAACCTTGCTGATTTTGTGTTATCTATGGGTGAATTGGATATCGGAATTTTATTTGTGAGAACTGTGTGATAATGCTTGCTTTTAGTAGCCTGCATGTCATATCCATTTCCTTGATATGGAGTCTGGTTTCTTGGACATCACATCAAAGCCTCTGGGAATGATACAAATCTTGGATCCATGAGCTTTTACTGTCCATGGTTGTGCCAAGTCAATGTTATATATACGTCCATCCATTGCTTGCTCTCTGCATCGAATTCAGTGATTGGCTGGAAGGAAATGGATATGACATGCTAGTAACAATGCTTTGCTGTGGTATTTATATATCTGGTATGCTTTATTGTTACTAGCTCTAACAGTAGGAGCATTAGCAGCAGAGATATTGATTGGCAATAATGGTCTGTGGTCTCCACCACTATGGTGATTTTGGTATAATTTAATTATAATTATCTCCAAAAGTTTTGATCTGGATGGCCACGGCGCTCACTGCTTTCTTTCTTTATACCTGACCACTTGTACTAGTTATTGTGGTGCTTCTATCTCCACTCTTCCTGAAATCATTATTATTTTAATGCTCATTAGTGGCAATTTAAGTATTAAAGGCCTCAATTTAACTTTATTATTTCTTTAAGTAGTAGAATTTTATCAAATGTGAAATTGAAAAATTGAAGCAGTAAATTATGTGAAATTCTTTTCTTTTCTTTTTTTTTCTTTTTTGACTCTACAACCTACCTATATGTACCCTACCCTCTAGCCAAGCGCTTCAAACCAACTAAAGAATTGTAGCATTTTTCCTATACAATGTCTGAACTGCATGTTCCTGTAGAGCTTCCTGTGTTAGATTTATCTGAACCTGCGGACGTCTCATTTTTGTCTTCCCTTTCTCAAGCCTGTCAAGAATGGGGCTTCTTTTATGTTACCAATCATGGGATCTCAAAAAACTTGTTCAGAAAAATTTGCTCACTTTCGAAGCATATCTTTAGCCTTCCTCCTGATTCTAAGCTCAAGCTCGGTCCGTCATCATGCTTAAAAACCTATACTCCTCATTTCATAGCCTCTCCTTATTTTGAAAGCCTAATAGTGTCCGGACCAGACTTCTTTGCGTCTGCTAAGCGTTCTGCTGATGAACTCTTTAGTCAGCAAAATCCCGAATTTAGGTACTATCCTTTTCTATCTTCTGACTTGATATTTTTTAACCATGGTTTCTGATGTTTTTTTAGTCTCTATTGAGAACCTTTTATATATGATTGCCCTTTTCACTTTTCAATTGCGTAGTGAGATATTACAGGAATATGGAAACAAGATGGTCGAATTATCAAAGAAAATCATAAAAGTTTTATTAATGACTTTGGGAGACGGTTGTGACAGGAAGTTTTGTGAATCAGATTTGAGCCACTGCCATGGATATTTCAGGATTGTAAATTATTCGCCACCAAAGGATGTGGAAGAAAAGGAGGTTGAAGGGCTTGGAATGCACACTGATATGAGTTGTATAACCATTGTCTATCAGGATGAGACTGGTGGACTGCAAATGAGATCTAAGGAAGGGGATTGGCTGGACGTACGTCCATGTGAGGATTCTCTTGTTGTTAACATTGGTGATCTGATGCAGGCTTGGAGTAACGGAAGGTTAAGATCATCTGAACACCGGGTTGTTTTAAAGCATTTTGTAAATCGCCTCTCTCTTGCTTTCTTTTGGTGCTTCGAGGATGACACGGTGATCCTGGCACCCGATGAAGTTGTGGGAGAAGGAAACCAGAGGACTTACAAGTCATTTGTTTGCTTGGATTATCTGAAATTTAGAGAGTAACGAGGAAGGAAAATTTGAGAAAATTGGGTACACGGTAAAAGATTTTGCCGGGCTGAAACTTCAAATGTAGCATTTGGTTCTGAAATTTCAATGCACAGCTCTTATCCTAGTCTTCTGGTAAATGGTAATTACACGGGAACTTTCTTCTCTTTAACCTCTTCCGCTGGAATGTTGAACCAGGAAAAGAGAGAGGACTTTAAAACAGGTTTGCTCTTGCCTTCCTTAAAGGAAAGTGACCTTTAACATCTCGTTTCCATATTCTCAGCATGGAAATGTGATTGTGTATTGCAATAATAATTAGGTGTAGATGTAATGAATTGGACATGAATCATGTGTTTCATATTTAAGAAATAAAGACAAGCGAAGGAAAAAAACAAAGTAATGCGTTACTGTTAGGATTGTTTTGTGAGTACGCATGCAATGGCGTTGATATTCTACTCTCTGTGCTGTGCGACTTGCTGTTAGGATTGTTTTTGTTTTCTTCTCTCTACTTGATTCCTTCTTTGACAAAGGAGATTTGGGAAATGATAGTAACTCCTACATTTCACACCCACTCTAGTCTTATCTAAGTAGTTTACAGTATATAATAATACCATAAAGTATTTCTTGTCATTTTGTCACTGTCCATAGCGCATGTCAATTGTCTCATCAAAAAAACTTTCTATAAAGTTAAAGGTTTAATGATTGCTGGGTTGCCACTAAGCTAAGTGATAAGTTCTGCGGTTGAAAAAAAAAAAAAAAGTTAGGCTTGGAAGTTGAAAGGTTGCCCACGGAGCTTCGATAAATGAAGCAGCCAACTAAGTTAGGCTTGAAAGTTGGAAGGTAGCCCACGAAGCTTCAATGAATGAAGCAGCCTAGAAAGCCATCAACTTTGGTGCTGCTGACTGGCATGAGCCTCGCGATGACCCTTTTTTATTTTATTTTTTAAGCTTCCGGACATTATCAAGGTCCTCTTAATTATGACGCTAAATCTCTCATATTACTTCATGACGTATGCTAACACTGGAGGATGCTTGTACTGTGACTTAACAAGAATACTAACTACTCAGTGACAGTGTTCACATATGGGGCAAATTTAACATGTGTCCTCTAATGTTTGGGTGTGCCCTATGGCTATGACTTATGAGCCTGTGAGCTGATTGCGAAAAAGGTTTACCACAACGTAGAATTATTATTCTTTCTTTTACTTGTTTGAATACAGAATTTTCTTTTCTTTTCTTTTTATTTTCCCTCAGACATTCAGTCAATTTTGCACAGGAGAGGGGTCACTTCATGGAATGGATTATACACTTTCACTTCTTTTCTCTTCTTTTTAAGCTCCTTTGATGATAAGTTCTCAGTGCACCTCAATGCGGTTACTTCAAAAACCAAAGATGCTCTTTGGACTTGACTAGATTTGGCGCGCCATTTGTTCAACGTGTCTAAAACGTAACAAGGAAAAGCTTAGCAGTAGATCGACTGGTTGAAATCCAACAGAGAAGGATTTTTAATCTCACGAAAGCAGGTCTGAAATATCCTTCACGTTATATATATATATATAGCACATTAGACTTATATATATAAGCACGTAAAACATGTGTAAGACTAATATGCTAGTTGGTCTTGATGTCTTACGCATGTTTTACGTGCTTATATATGCAAGTCTAATATGCGATTTGGTTTAATGTCTTACACTTGTTTTACATGCTTATATATATAAGTCTAATATATATATAATGGAGAAACTATTTTGAATCTTAACCATCCACGCTATACATGTTTAGACAATGATATTTGGAATGATTTTCTATTGAAAAATCAGGTCGGATCTCAACCAAACCAAATATGACAGACAAGCTTTGTAATTTGCACTCTGCGCATGCTTTTATATACTTGGCACTGAAACAATCCGATTTGCTTTTGTTAATTACTGATATGACTCATCTTTTCTTGTCATCTATTTATCTTTCAAAGTCATGACTGCCAACTGCCATGAGCAGCAGCCCACATAACCAATCTGAATTTTCTCTTAGCCAATGATGTGCTATGTTCTGCTATAAAATACGATAGCTTCTGCAGATGCGTTCTCACCACTTTATGACATATAGCTTAGGACCCCTTCCTATCCAGTAGCGTACGAACTACTGTTGGCTTTAACTTCAATCTATAGCCGGGACAGCTTCACACGCTGGAGTAGGGTTTTAGACAAGCCCTAATTGTTGCATCCACATACTGCATGTTAGCATCAACTAATTTCCACCAAATTAAACTGACAATCCAGAAGGGGAAGTTCTAGCCAAATGGAGTTTTCTTGTAAGTGGATTGCAGTAAGTTTTGGGAATTTAATGGACGGTTAAAAATACATTGGTGAAATACTGATTCTAGTGCAGAGCACATGCTAAATCATTGAAGAAAATACAAACGTTCAGAATAAGTGCATTTTCTGTTTATTAGACTACTCTACATGGAGGAAATTCCATGTTCTATAGCTGTGATCTACAATGTCTTCCGCGACACAGAATTTTACAACTGAAGCAGTGAATTCTAACCATACAGTCTCGATTTGAAAACAAGTTTCAACATTTCTCAGCAACTCTTTGAAGGGCTTGCTTGATTGTGCTGATTGATACAGCATTCAATCCCTTGTGCTGCAATAAACATTATGAAATTACTGTGCAAGGAATCATGGTAATAATTATCATCAAGTTAGCCTCAATCATGTAATATTAAAAGGTACAAGATATAAATAGATTGTCACTTGACATAACTGTGCAAACTTGAGTTCATACCTTGGATTTGATAGTCAGAGAAAGGATGCCATCTATGGTAGATGATTGAACTGAGTGAGAATCTAAATGGAGATGGCCTGCTACATCCATTATCTCCAGCAATATTCCATCCCTCCAAACACACTTGATCTCGATTAGAAGATACTCTTTATTCATGCTGACAGTTATATTATCAGCTGAACCATCTTTTGATACATTATGGTTGATATCTGGATCCATTTTATCAATGTCGGGAGCCTTCCTCTTATTAGTCAATGAATTTTTGCCATTTCCAATCTTATTGCTGCCGTAGTTGTCAGAAGTCCTCTCCACAGTATCTAGGGGTTTTCCTTTTGTTCTTGCCTCTAATAGCTCCCTGCTTGATTCCAACTCTTCAACCTTTCTTTCAAGCTCCTGAAGGTATTCAATTGTGTCATCTAGTATGGATACTTTATCAACCTGCACAAACAAGAAAAAAATTAATCTATGGCTTCCCTGTTCAAGGCCAATAACTTTTGGTAACAAAATTCTTAACTACCTTGCTGATTGAAGGAACGATTGATTTCAGAATCATAAACCTTTTATTCAGCTTTTCTCTTCGCTTCCTCTCAGATAATACATGACTTGCACCAATTTCATCAGCCTCTGGCCTCCCTACAACAACTTTATTGCTATTGTGTTCTGGAGAGTCGAGCAAGCCATCAACATGCATCCGAGGAACTTCAAACAGTATCTTCTTTAGAACTTCTTGTGGGGTTCCACTATTCAATTTGTGAGTATGCACCAATCCTGCTTTCTTCCAACTGACAAAGCTCGATTCCTGACGACAATTCTGGACATTGGGTCCTAGAATCAACGGATGGGAGGTCTTTAAGAGACACGAGAGAACACTATGATAATGCAAATCATCGTTTCGAAGGTCCAATGCAGTCAGCTTCGTGTGATTGCGGTCTTGAACATCCTGGAGACTCTGGTCATTTACCTTTCCATTCTTGAAAATAGGAGCAACCTTTACAGGATCTACAATTGTTTGAGATATACAATCACTAGAATTCAAGGAATGATGAACACAGTTGCTGAAGTCATCATCCATGAACTGCCAACTTTGCACTTGGGAAGCTCCACCGTTTAGCCCTTCAACCATAATCGAATCTGCAGCTGGCTGACCATTCGAATTGCCATTAGGGGAGGATATATCTAGTTCTCCACATTCTACAGCTGGAATCGGTCTGGTGTCAAGTATTTCACGATTAAAAGTGGCACAAGCAAGCTCTTTGTCGCTTCTTGCACTAGAATTCTTGGCTACTGTGTATGGGATCTCCAAGAATGATTCTTTGATGTGTTGAATGAGGCTTGGGTCCTCCAAAACCTTTAGAAAACAAATTACAACGAAGCAGCATGACTTGGATTGGCAATTGCAATGTACAGACAGCAAATCTGTAGCTGACAATGCTCTAAATAGAAATCTGACAGAAGAATTACCTGCTCAGTCACACCCATCTCAACCACACCTCTCATAAATGGAAAGCATACAACAGTCTGAAAGTTTAAACAAGAAAAGTTGGCTCACATTTTGGTATAATCCAGTTATGCTAGTAGTTCTTCAAGCTACAATATTCTTTCATTGAGGACCTTATGCATTCAGTAAAAGTGCAGTGCTGTGAGCCTATATACTGGAATTCTACTAGGAAATAGGTAGAATTGGTACCTGAATTGATGCACTCTGAGGGTTATGGTCGCCATAATTCCCATCATAGAAGAAGAGCCGAAGGGATTGAAAGAAAAAAGTTTAGTTTCTTTTATCACTTTGAGTATGTCGAATGTGTACAACCTTATTTCATAAATGAAATAAGATATCTGAAGGGGAACAGAATCCTCACCTTAGCTAGCAGAGAGCGACTGAATACTTTACTATCTGCAGAATGAGCGTTGCATAGCCAAGTAGGATGGCCATTTGCTAATGTTGTTCCTGGCAAGCTATGAACAATTCAGAGGAAGAATTAAGGACGATTGAACTCTAAAAATGAATAAATTGAAAAGCCTAGTTCAGAAAAATGGTAAAGAGAATGAAGTTACCCTTCGCCAATGTCGAATACGAAGGACATGCAAACCAAATAATACCACTCTGTATCAGTGAGATCTTCTGGAGATAATGCAGCTGAGGGTCTTCTAGCTTGTGGGCTGGCTTCACCGACTGAAAGTGACTCATAGAGTTCTCGTAATTGCTCACTTCTCTGTAAACCCAATTCATCTTCTTTAAGCTCTATGGATTGAACTGTTTTCCTCGTCTTAATATCTCCATTGTAATACCCATTACCCCACTCCAAAACCCTACGAAATTCACATTTACCAGCGATATGAACACGAACAAATAATGCGTTAGAGCTGTGAGCACGAGTGGCTCAAAAATGATTATACTGTTCATGGCTATAATCAACGCACAAACAAATAAACTACCCTTTCTCTCAAGGCCGGCGAAAAAAGAAAAGATACCTTAATCATAAATACTATGTTCTTTTGCTGGGGACATGTAAATACATCTTCAAAGAAAGGAACCATGAGCCATCCTAATCAATGTACTATAAAATGCGGACAATAAAATTTGAGAAAGGGATAGATTCCCTTAAAACTAAAGCCTAAAGTTCAATTCATAAAGCCAAAGAAAATGCAAATTTATATGTCAAAATCAGTACCATTTGCAGAATTGTTTACACAAAAACCAGATTTCGCTCCAGCCATAGAATATCAAATATATTACACTCTTTCTGAAAAGTAATTCCCGACACTCAATTCCAAAATGTGACTGAGCTCCCAGAAACTTAAGGTGACCCACTTTCACAAAAATCACAGACAAAGGGTAGAAAATTTTCTTTAACAAAGATTCTTAAAAAGATTTCTTTCGGCTACAAAAAGAACAATTTCTAAAAATAAAGTAAATTATTGGCACCGATACGAACAAAGAAAATAGAGGAGATATGGAAAGGTTTAATTAGTACCCAGGTTGTCTATCTGAAATGGACCAGAAGATTGCATAGCTCCACTGAATGCTCCTCACAGCAATAGCAAGCTGTGTGTTGAGGTACTCTGGTAGTCTCTCTTGGTTATGGAGCGCAGTAGCCATATCTTAAGATCAAAAGGATAAAACTCACCACTTTTATCAGATCAGGAAAAAAAAAAGAAAAAGAAAAAAAAAACTCTTGCCTTATACTTTATTCTGCATTTCTACACACCAGAAACTTTGATAATGGAATATTCAGTATCTTAACAACCACATGCTTAAACCCTTGATTCTTGAATATCAAAAGTGGGTTTGTTCCAGAAAACAACAAGAGAGTAGAAACTCAAGGTTGGAACTTGCGAGTAGTATAAAGCTTGAAAGTTAACCAAAGAGGAAGCTCTGGCTCATCTTTTTATCAGTAGAGAAAAACATACTATTTTGGAACTTGCGAGTAGTAATAAAGCTTGAAAGTTAACCAAAGAGGAAGCTCTGGCTCATCTTTTTATCAGTATAGTAATTAAGGTATACCCTGTTGTGAAGCAAGAAACAGAACACAAAGTTTGATAAGGAAAGGAACAATAAATGGAAGTGGAATCTTTCGTGGTTTCTAATGTCAATCTTGTGAATGGTGATTTAATTTACTGCTCAAAAAAACAATTCTACTATAGCTTCTAGCCTTATCAAAATAAACCCAAGCAAGAAAAGCTCAAGAATGGTTGGAAACATTTTAAAACACACACCCACTTGTTTCCCTTCTTTTCATTTTCTGTTTTTAAGCACTTAAAAACACAAAAAGCTGGGGTATTCACAGACTCAGAAAACTGAGACACTTGGACCTACAAAACCACCGACACCAAGCAGCTTTCTTCTTTTTTGAACTTGGTGAAAATTATTTTCACCAAAAAACCAGCTCAAAAATACGTCTTATGGTCAGGAAATACCGAGAGAGAGAGAGAGAGAGAGAGGGAGAGAGAGCTGTAATGCTATTATAGTTTGCTTTTAAGTCAAAAGAGCTTGGAGTACACTTAATCGTACACTTCCATATGTAAAGATTAAGATCTCAATTTTGCTTCGTTTCTTCGCTGTGTAGCGTTGAGAGCTTAAAACCACCAGACCCAAAAAACAAAAAAATGTAGGAGAATCCAAAGTTAATGCAAACAACTAAACACGGGACTACAGAGAGAGGAACTAGAACGTAGATGGAGAGATGGTGGGCCTGTGGACAATTGAAGCTACGTTGAGATCATGCAGTACTGCTAAGCATACGATTTGATTGTGGGATTTGGTGAAAAATGGAATATTAAGTAAGAAAAAACCAAGAATATTTATTATCTTCATTAATATTGATGACTTTAGTACATTCTTCCTTCTCATCGTTCTTCCTATCTCACCAAAGAATGTATTCATATATTTTTTAACGTTTACTTGTCGCACCGTTAGAAAGGAAAATAGTAGAGTACCTAAACTACAATTCAATGTGATTATGGCCCAATTCATCTAATAATTTAGTATCAAATAAATAAATTGAATTTAGTTTCTAAAATAAAGTGGTAACTACTTCAAATCTAATAATAATAAACATTTAAATAAGAAATGGGTTTTATTGTTATTATTATTATTATTATTTTCTCTTCCACGTGTGTGTGTGCGCCGGCGTGTGTATAGAAGTTAATTATGAGACTGGTTTAATCTTTTGAATTAAGAGTAAAGGGACCTTTTCGCTGAAAACATATGATTAGCAAAAAGAGGAGTGCTTGAAGCAAGTAGTGGGGTTAGAGCAAATAAAGAGGTCTTTTGATTAAACAGGTAAATTTGACGGGTAGGTGGGTTTTTGCTCGTCGTTCTAAGCATGTGGGGAAATACATTACTGTTAATGGCGGGCCAACCAGAACAGAACGGCCTGAATCTGTGTCAGCATCATCACAGTATTGACTTTCGGCTACGCTTCACAGATTATTGGCCTCATCAATCACAAGCGCATGTGTCTTATCAGAACAATCACGTCATTGTCCCTTATTTTTTCGTTTCTTATCGATTATCTGTACCAATAAAATGAAGCATCCAGCAGCTTCTGCTCACAAAACCCGGTTACTACTACTATATCCATGATTATTATTTGTACCATATTTTATATATAAATTCGAAATAAGAATAATTTCATATTGCTAATCATAATCAATTGAGTAATTTGATGAATACATCAACTATTTTATGGAATGTGTAAAATGAATTTGAAAAAAAATAATAATAATGTTGCCGCTCTGGCTTGTGAAAGATGTTTTATTTTTTTTAGTTAATTAATGTTGAAAAAAAATACAATATATTTAATTTCAATCAATATTGATTTTTTGGTAATATCACTGTGTTAAAAAATCTCGATTAATCTATCTAAATTTACTCAAGTTGATGAAATATTCTCTCTCCCAAAAAATTTTCTTTATAGAGTTTATGTTATCCATATTATAGAAACTATTACTCTTCATTATAATTTTTTAAAAGCGGAACATTTGCTTTCTAAATTTAAAGAGAGAAGTTGATTTTACTAATTTCTAAATTTTTAAGATAAGACAAATTTTCTATGAAATTATTTTTCCAAAATATCAATGTGCAAGAAATTTTGATAAATAAATTAACTCCAAATCAATTTAAATCTCATCAGTGGATTAGAATCTCTAAAATAATTTTAATACTAATTCACTAAAATTTCAATCTTAAAATTGATGTTACGGATATTAACAAATACTTTTTATTCAAAATAAAGTTACAGTATTTCATTGCTAAATTCATTGCTAAATTTAAAATGGGAAGCTAATTTTATTAACTCTCAAAGTTTTATTACTCCATAAGTTTTTCAATCTCCTAACATTAAGGTGAAAAAATTTAGACTAATCTTTTATTAATTAACTCAAAATGTATTTGAAATTCCATAAAGAAAAAACAAAATTCTCCAGCAAATGTTTCCAATAATGTTATCGATCAAAATTTAAATTGCTCAACATTTTATTCATAAATTTCGGCTAAAAATATATTTTTTTAATACCCTGTGGTCTATGCCTTAGCAAATTTTCAAAATTTTATCTTGACATTAATGTGACTAAGATTTAGATATATTTTTATTAGTTCAAAATTAATTTGATTTCATGAGTCGAAAATCTTTTCCTTTAATGATTAATTGAAATCATCTATTATAATTTTACTTATTTATATATTAAAATTTTATGATTTTTTTAAGGAAGGAAATCTCATTTTTAATATTTTTTTAAAAAAAAGAAATTAAAAAAAAAAAAAACAGGAACGACCCTACAACACCAAGCATGTGTGGTTAGGTTTAGTAACTCAAACATGTGCATCTGAGCCTAGAAATCCAAGCGGGCTCTTTATAAACAACAAACAAATGATGAATCATCTAAATGGGTGACGCATTGACTATCCTTATCCTCGGTGACTCTCTGATGATCGAAAAATCGCGGCATCACCCCGCTTCATCCAAAGCTCTTTTTTGTTTCTCCATTTTCGGCTAAAAACACCTCAAACATGTCCCCACAGCCTCTCTAAACCCACTTGATATCTTAAAATTATTTGAATCTACCTCAAAACTCAAAATTTTAAGCTCAAAATTATACTCGGACTTAGATCTATTTTTCTTTTTCTTTTTTCTTTTTTCTTTTTGTGAAAATAGGATTATTAAAGCAATTTAAAAACTCAACACGTTAAGTGTAATATCGATCATCGGACCCTATCATCGAGAGTCTCATTAATTCAATATTCAATTCAGCTTAAATTTCGACGTAACCGGCACGTCATAAAATAACCCAATTACTAAAGGTAATTCATTTGATTCAATTAATAACATCGGTCCCTATAAGATAGGAGAGTTATTAAATTAATTTAGCATTTTCTTTATTTTTTTTTCTTTTATTCATTTTTCCTCCTTTTCTTTTTTTGTATTTTTTTAGAGTTAGAAAAAATATATTGAAATTACCATTCGTCTCTAATAAATAAGAGACTTATTGATTAGACATCACAAGCAAATCAAAATCTACATATTAAGATAAAATTTACAACATAAATATTTTTACATTTTCCTAAAACACCTATAATTAAATAATTATCAAAAAATAAAATAATAAAAAAAGGTAAGAAAAAAAATGAAATGATCTCTAAACGAGTGACTAAAATGCCCCAAGAATGCGAGCTGAAAAATGACAAAAATAGCTATGTTTTTGAAAAATGATATAATTGCCCATAGTGTAAAAAATGACAGAATTGCCTTTGCTCACTATCGGAGGTTGTTGTTGCCCGTCCAATCACCAATCGACTTGTGGACCACTCCTCCATGTAGTAGACACTTGTACGAGTTGTTGGTTCAGAGGTGACGACCGTCATAGCCTAATGGAAGAGATCATTCGTTGAAAAGTTTTGACTAGTCTCGTTCTTCTTCTTTGGTCAAATTATACCGCATTTAACGGTTTTCAAGGCTTCAAAACGGACCCGAACAACTCCTAGAACTTGTTAGAGCTTCTTTTTTAAAAAAAATTGCTTAATTTGGTCGGAAAAAAGGGAAAGAAAAATTGGTATAGGCGGCGGAGTTAGATTCGTCTTCTCTAGCCAAATTTGTCAATTTTTGGCATCTTCTTCCACAATTTAAGATTTACGAAGGTTTTTACATGTTGCGGGAAGAGTTTTATGGTGGTAGACGTCTTCGATTTGATTGGAAAATAGAGATAAAATTGAGTATAATCGTGGGTATGATATAGTGGATTTCATTTCAAATCCTAGCCTTCTTCATCATTTTTAGTCATAGAAACCGAGTTGCGGAAGGTGGATCCGAAATTAGGCTACAAGATGGTGGTTTTATTGGGATGATTGATGTTGGAGAGTGGTAATTTTAAGCGAGGCGACAACGGATCCGTCGCGATTGGCGGGGATTGGCGAGTTTGGTTTTGATTAAAAGGATTCGTTTGATTTTTTCTCTTTTCTTAGGCGAGACAACTTCTCCGCATTTTTCTCTAGCTTATAGTTGTGTAAATGCAAAATATTTTTTTGAAAGAGATGATGAATAATAACCTTTCAATATTTTGACTATTTTTTTTAAAAAAAATGGGTAAGGGTGATAGTTAGTT